TGTAATAGTAATTCAAAGGACAAGGTCACTTCATAGGAATATTTCAAATGCAGCATTGCCTCAAACATACCCTATTAATTAATTTCAAGACTCCTACACCCAAACGAAAACGATATCGACCAGTTAGCTTCAAGTAGCAAGTATACATTAAGAAAAAGGAGAGCTTGATTCGAAAGCAAAGTAAAATAATGGTGAATGAACTCAACATAGAGAACTGGCAGCCAATCCTAGCACATGGACAAATTAAAGATTGTTTAACATTCACTATTTGGACAGAGTCCTCTTAAATTTATACTACCACCAAGATCTTATTTCAAAATGACAAATCGATAATTATCAACACTTAGACGGGTTAAGGAAATTAATTTTTTTTTTTTTTTGATAAAAAGAAAGGGTATCTTGATACAAACGACAATAACTTAAGGCGAAAAATAACCACTCTACATTAATACGAACCCTTAAGTATGACTACAAATCATACCTTAGAGGACTACACACTTGAATCATATGACTATTTGACTCGATTATATCCATTTTAATCAAAAAAAGCAAACAGATCCCTAATGAAGCGAAGGGAGGAAAAAACTTCAGCTACTTGACCAAATAAACTACACATCCATAGTAACCAAAACAAAGAAGAAACACATCATTTGAGCTTTCACAAAAAAGAGAAACAAGACGCCATTAAACTACTATACAAGAATACACCACGAATGATAAACTAAAACAAAACAGGGGCTGAAAATTGCTAAAAAAGGAAGATTACCTTCTTCCGGGCAGCGAACGGAACAAACGAGCAGGAAAAGAAACAGTGAGTTCCACCACACAATCACAAAACTCGAAAAGCGAATCCAAACGTATGAACCGACTCTGAGCAGAGACCCCTAAAGAACTTAAGACTGAAAGTTGTGTTCAAATTTCTTCGGCATGTGAATTCAATTGTTCAAGAGCACTCTAACGTATGTCTCTTTTTCCGACCCCTTCAGTGAATAACAAGCAACTAATATATAGAAAATTCAGTTCGGAAAAGGGGGGAAAAGCTGATTTCAGGTAAGGACAAAGACCCAAATCAAAATTCAAAAATCCAAAAATCTTTCACCATTTTAAAGAGACACCCTTTTTCTGAAATTTTCTCCCCATTCCAAAAGAGGAAAGGGGAGAAACGCGTGTCTGCTTCTCTGCTGCTGCGACTGTACGAGTTGGAGAGAGACGGGAAGAAACGAACAAAATTTTGTGGCGTACACCCTCTGTCCTCGTTGCTCCGTGTATTTTGACGGAAAAATTGCTGAAATTGTCGTTGGAATTGTCGTTTTGTAGCAGATACCGTGCACTGTTCTTGTTTTGCCGTGAAGTTTGACGTTGCTGTTGTTGGTAACGTGAGGAACATCTGGAGAAGTCCTGGATCTTCTAGTTGAACGCAAATGGGCCGGGTCAAGGGAATTTATGTATGTTATTGGGTTGCTGAAATTGTGGGAAATTAATAGAATGGGCTGTTGTATGTATGCTGGTTGTTTTTTGCTGGAATGGGTCGGTTGTGGGCTATGATTTTGGTCAAATTTGAGAAAAGGACCAAATTTTGGTCCTTTAAAAACTGATTAAGCTAGAATCGGATTTAAACTTTGGCCATATGAATCTAAATTAAAGCCAAATGTAGTCAAACTTATTTGATTAGGATAAGTTCGACTAGTAATTAAGCAAGATGAATTAATATAGATTAATCAATAAACTTCTTAATTTCAACAAAATAAAATAATTGACTTAATTATAAATCAAATAATTTAAAATATAAAATATTATGTAACTAAACTAATTAACCAAATATTTGATTTAAACAAAAATCTTTTTGCGACTATTTTTGAACATTCATAAAATATACTAATTAGACACATAATTATATAATAATTAACTGAATTATAAACTAATTAACTCAAAATATAAGCTATTAATTAATTTAAACTAAATAACCAAATATTTAAATGAAACTAAAATCTTTTAGAGACAATTTTCGAACATTCATAAAATATACTAATTAGACACATAATTATATAAAATATCATATTTATTATTTAAAATTATAAAAATGACAAAACTACTTAAATGACTTTGAAAATTATTTTGAATTTTATAAAGCCAATTATATCAAACCATTTAGAATTTAGGAAGCTCGATGATTAATTTATATTGTGGAGGTCCAAATTTGGGTGTCAACACACATTTTTTTTTTAATGAAATATGGAGCAATGGAACTTGAGCATTGTCATAAGAGATTTCAGGTTCTAGGTGTAAAATTGAAGTTTACTGAGGAGTACTTATTATTATTCTGGTGTCGATAGGTGCATGTCGGATCTTTTTGCATGTTTTGGAGAATTTGATGCGAGTGAGATAATTTATTAAAAAAGTTCGAACAACATAGCTGAGAAATTACGATACAATAATGTATAGTAATATTGAGGTTAGGGAGTAGACATATTATGAAGATGTGTAAGACGGTTGTAAAAGAATATATGACAATTCATCTTACATGGGACAAGCAATTCAACTATGGTCTATTGCATCGGAAGTAATTTTTAGTGATAATTAATTAATTATAATAGTTTAATTGTCGGTAAACATGAGGTAAATCACTATTGACAATTACGTGTTAGCACTCTTTGTAAATGAGGCTAAAACTTATAGTGATATGGATCCAGTAGTAATTAACTAATGTTGCTAAAGACTCTAAAATTCTTTGTTAATGAGTATATTTATTGTCATTAAAAGTTATTTTTTATTGTTGTAGTATTGGAGGGGTTACAGTGAATTTAGCTCAAGCAATTAATTTATCAATTTGAATTTTAGAAAAATCAATATACATATTTAATATCGGTCGATAATACTTGAAATTAATACAAACTATTTACAGTAAATAAAGTCTTAAAATCATAACTATTTCAGTCTTATAAAGAGAAAAAAAAATGATTGCTGATATAAATGATAATATCCTGTTTCACTCGAGGTCAACTTTGGTTAGTTTCTCATATTTGGCCATAAAGAGTCAAATAATAATATTACACAAATTTAGGTTATATATCACAAAAGGAGCTAATATAATTTATTAGCTTTTGACCTATAATTTTGTTCAAAGTAAAACTTGGCTGATTCTCGAAACTCTAATTATACCACATAAATTGAGACGAAAGGAGCTAATAATTTCATTATCTTTAGATCGGCCGTCAACTTACCACAACCAGGGGCGGCTCAAATCCGTTGGTGGCTTAAGGCCAAAATCAAACTAGAGGCCTTTAAAAAAAATTATAAATGTTTTTATTTTAAATCTATTTTTCTAGCTTTTTGAGATGCAAAGTTGTTAATAATTTTTTTATAGTCAATCTCTTCTAATAATTCTTTTTCAATCGATAATATAGCCAAACCACTTAATCTTTCTTGAGACATTATCGATCTTAAATAATATTTTATTATTTTTAATTTTGAAAAACTTCTTTCGGCTGAGGCGACTGTTACGAGAATTGTTAACATTATTCTATAAGCAATGTAAGCATTTGGAAAAGAATCAAGTCTTTTTATTTGATTGAGTATCTCAATTAGAGTATTGTCTTCTACTTTTATGATTTCCCTTAACACTTTTAATTCAGAAAATAAGTCTAAACCGTCAATATCGGAGTGAGTATTATGTTTTAAGGAACATTCAAGTTTAAGACAATATTTTTTCAAATTCTCATCATCTAATGATCTCAATTTTTTCCCACTAAATAGAAAACCAAAAATATTTTCATATACTTCAAATTGTTCAAATCTATTTTGAAGTGAAAAGATGGCTTGGTCTACTATGTATAAGAAGTAATCAACTCCAAATGATTCTTCAAGAGATCTTGTGATTTCATTATCAACATTCTCATCAAAAAAAAAATTTCTATAAATTACACATTTCTTACGAAATACAGGTTCTATATTCATCTCTAATGCAATTTTCTTAGCCGAAATTATAGTACTTGTAAATCCTTCTTCTCTATATGTTTTAAAAAAAGAAACTAAACCTCTTAATTGATCTATTGCGACATCAAAATCTAACAAATATTTTAAAACACTATTTACAATATCAAATAAAAAATATAATAAACATAAGACACAAAACAAAAATAATATTAGAAATTAGAATGATATTACCGAATTCAAAAGCTATGAAGACTTGATTTTCAAAAATGAATCGGGCAGCTGCAATATAGTTTTCTCCAAATTTAAAATATAAACTATCAATAGAACGAGTACATTTTTAAGCTTTGAATAAGAGAGAGATGTAAGATCAGAAAAAAGAAAGTGAAAAGAAATAGAAGGGAGGAGGATAGAATATATAAAAATAAAATTAGAAAAAAAATAAGGTAAAAAAAAAAAGATAACTTGTACATTAGAAAAAAAAAATACACAACTTTTTATTGAAAAGTCAAAAAGTCATAGTCATATCTATCATACTATCATTTCATTTGGCAGTTTTGCATTTATTGTCTTGGTTCTAACAATTTCTTTTTTAAAATTTAATCCTTCCTAATTAACTAAAAAATGGGGCCTTTGCATTTATTGTCTTAGTTCTAATATTATTTTTTAAAATTTAATCTAACCTAATTAACTAAAAAATGGAGCCCCCAAAAGACTTTTTTTAAGCCTTACCAACCGCCCCTGACCACAACCTTTCATGTATTCGAAGTTGAGACCAGTTATAATACTTCACGTACGACTCTCGTAAAAGCCAAGTTTATTTCATTATATATGTTTAGTACATGAACTAAAATGTGCATTCAATGACTTGACACAACAACTATGAAGATTTCTCACATCATTTTATTGATATGTAAAATATAACAACATATATCATTCATCCATCAGTATATAAAACTTTAAACTAAAACTATGTATAAAAAAAAGCATAGTAAAACTATAAGAGTCTTTTAAGTTACTTTCTCTATACTTATTCTTTGATGATGGATGAATTCAGAATCTCCATTGTTTCAAGGCACAAAATCAGGTTCAAGATTCTTCAGCTGCTCGACGACTTGAATCATCCGCGGCCTGTTAGGAAGGTCTGCTGTACACTTCAGAGCCAAATGCAGCATGTCCTTCAACTTTTCCTCAGAATCTGGTTCCCATAAACTTGTATAGAAGATATCTTCAATCTTGTCATCGTGCAACATCATGTTTGCCCATGAAACAATGTTGAATCCGTCCTCATACACAGAAAAAGAAGGATCTAATGCTCGTTTGTCTGAGAGAAGCTCTAGCAGGACGACACCATAGCTGTAAACATCAGCCTTGTCAGACACACGACTTGTTAAGGCGTATTCTGGTGCAACATAACCAAATGTTCCTGCTACACTTGTGGTGCTGCTGGTGCCTCTTCCCATGATCTTTGATAAACCAAAATCGGACAAATAAGCGTTTAACTCATTGTCCAATAGGATATTACTAGGCTTGACATCCCGGTGTATAATACGTGGATCACACTGATCATGTAGAAATGATATAGCTAAACCAATGTCCAGGGCTATTTTATGCAACACTTTATAGTTAAAAACTCTGTTTGCTCTCTCGTGTATGTATTTCTCTAAGTTGCCTCCCGGGAGAAAGTTGTATACAAGGAACATATCAGTGTAACTTGTATAATACCCGATCAGTGTAATGAGATTCGGGTGACTTATGGTTCCGAGGGCCTGAATTTCTGCCTCGAACTGGATAGCTCCTTGACATCTTTCAGTTAGGAGCCTCTTAACAGCCAGTGTAAGTTCAGAGGAGATTTCTGCCCTATACGTTGAACCAAAACCACCAGTTCCAATGCAGTAGCTCCAGCTAAAGTGTCTAGTAGCCTGAACAATTTTTTCATAAGTTAAAACTACTCCAACGTCATTGAAGATTGTAATATCGCTTACTTCAGGTGATATCGAGGCTTCAATTCTAGGATTTGATGGCTTCTTCTTTCCGTTCTTACACAAGGCAACGAGGACAGCAAGAGCAGCAACAAAAACAAGAGTTAGAGATACTGCACCAGCAATCTCTAAGGCAGTAAGTCCTCTCTTATCATTTCTAGACTGATCAGACCCTTGTGGAGGAGCTGCAACACTTTGGGACTCATTCGATTGTTGACTCATCGGTGGTGCTAAAGCCAACGACATCCTTGGCGTGACTGAAAGAAAAAAGTTTCCAAGAAAGCTACACCTTCTTATCATCTTATTATCAGATAAAAACGATAAGTTGTTGAATAAGATGTTGCATACATGAAGTGATGTCAAATTTTCCAAACTTGAGGGAATCTCACCAGTAAATGAATTGTTGTTAAGCAATAGAACTTCAAGCTTTAGAAGCCCTCCAAGCTCAGAAGGGATTACTCCAGAAAATGCATTCGAACTCAACAAAACTGTCCTTAAGTGGCTACATTTCCCCAATACACGCGGAATTTCCCCTTGTAGGAAATTAAATGACAAATCTAAATGCTCAAGATCCCTGCATTTAACTCCAAAGTTAACAGGAACACGTCCAATCAATCGATTAAACGATAAATTCAGCACCTTTAACTTCTCAAAACCACCAATGAACCCTGGAATGACATCATTTACACCATTTCCTGCTAAATTCAATACACTCAAACACCTACATTTTGCTAGAGAAGGTGGAAACCTCCCTACAATTCTGTTAAATCCCAAGTTAAGAACTCTCAGCTTTCTCAACCTCGTAAAATTATAACTTGAAAAATCCCCCTGAATGGCATTCCCTTGCACATCAACAACTTCAAGATTCTGTAATTCCCATATCTGAACTGGAATTTCACCAGTAAGATCATGAAATGGAAGAGACAGAACCCGAAGCTCCTCGAGATATGCAACAGCATGAGACAGATTCCCAACAAGTTTATTAGCATTAGTACTGTTACCTCTGATTCTCAACTCTGAAACTCTTGATGAATTCGCGTTGCACGACACTCCATACCAAGAACAGTAGCTGGAATTGTCTGATTTCCAGCTCAACAAAATCCCAAAAGGATCAATGAATGATTTCTTGATTTCCAACAAAGCCATTTTCTCAGAAACAACAACTTCATCTTCTCCATAAGCTGAAAATGGAAAAGAAGAGAAAACAAATGCCACCAAGAACAAAATCAAGATTCTTGAAAACTGCATTTTCATTGTCAAAAACACAACCCCAGATGTCAAAATCATGTCTTTAAGCCTCAGTTTTCAAATTCAAACACAAAGAAACAATCTTTTTGGAAAAAAAAAGATTCTTGAATTTGAAACTACAAAAAAAAGAAGAAACAAATATGAAATTTCTTCTTCTTTCTTCTTCTTTTACTAGTGACTAACTGCTCTAATGTGAGATGTTTTACTACTGTATAATATTTTTTTCAAACATGTGTTATTTATACTGTGAGAAGATCTTCATTGGGTCCAAAAGTGGACTTTTAGAAGCTTTCTAGGGTCCCTCATACTTTTAGTCGTCACGTAACGTTTTTTCAGAGTCAATTTGACCACTTTCAAAGTTATATTAGATTGTGTTAACTTGATATTTTAAAATAAATATTTATATACTTAAAAACTATATAGAAAGTAATATAAATTGTAAACAGAAGTTCATATTAATATGATGGAAAAAGACATTTAAAAAGGTTAGTCAAATTTTATATAGTTTGACTGTAAAAATATAAGAGGGGAACGTCCTCATTGGTCGAGTGGTTTCTGACGTGGTCCAATGATAGCTCTCCACGTGGACTCATGGAACGTCCTCATTTGTCGATTATTTTGGAGAAAAAAAGAAAATTAGAGGGGAAAATAAGATTTGCCTTTTTTAGGTTTGAAATTTTTTGGGAAAATTGAATTTACTTCACTGAAAAAAAAAAAAAAGAGGAAAGGGGAGGTACTACTTACTGTAAAAATTAACTAGAAGCAAGTAATTAATTAAGATTAAAAAAAACTGGAAAAAAGGAAAGATTGTGAATAAAATGATAAAAAGTAATAAATATTTTTTGATTGCTACCAAATGGGAATGTGGAATGTAAAAGCCAGTTTCACACTGTAAAAAAAAATTTAAGGGATGTTGTCAAAAATAAATTCTTGTAAATTATTTTAACTTTGACAAATCATGTTATTTAATATTTGTTACCAAATCTGAAAAGAGGAAAAAACTTAGTTAAGTGTAATTCAGCTCATATATAATATTTTCCTTATTTCATTTATATGTATAATTGTGTTTAATTTACCTAGAGCATGTTTGAATTAACTCATTTTAAGTTATTTTTAGTGTTGAGTATTTGATTTTAAGTTAAAATAATAAAAATAAGTCGAAAGCTAATCCAAACAGGTCGCTAGATTTTTTCTAGGGTATTGATCGAACTACTTGTTGGATGAACTCGTGCTTTTGTTTAATTATAATTGAGTCGTTCTTATTATATCTATTTGTTCAATTACACATTAATTGAGGGACCTCAATTAACAGTATCGTTATATCTTGCTTTACTCGAGAAAAATTGTAAGATTAAGGTTTAGGTGAACAACGTCACTTTGAAGCATTAAGAAATTAATGACTTAAGATTTAAAAGTGGGGGTTAGAAATAACAAAGTTTTGACACGATCTAGTGAATAGATTAATTGGTTAGTTAGGGTTCATCCGAGAGAACAATGCTAGAAAATTACTTCACTTGGTCAAGAGATATTTGTGGTAAGAAAAGATTCATAATCGATAGAGATTAGTTCAACAAGATTTCAATTGATACATTGAGAGTTTGTCCCAACATTTGGTGAAATCATTACCCTAGACCTTTAACTCTTGGAAGAAAGTTGTTAATCACCTGATTATTTTAATATTTTTATTTTCAATATTTATTTCTGTCAGCTAAAGCGAAAATTCAAACACAGTACCTCGGAAAATTGTTCGAACTTATCTTCTCAGCGATATCGAACAATGATAGCTAAAATTAGTTCTTTATAGGATTCGACTTTAGATTTTTAGATCAGGTTATATTTACAACAATCACTTATCCTTTTCATTATGATCAACTACACATAGACATTTTTTCTCCAATTAGCTACAAATTATATATATATATAAAACTTGTTATATTTGGTAAATAAGAAAAACTTATAACATGTGAGTGGAAATACAAAATATTTTCTTTGTGTCATTTAAACTCCTAATATACTAGCTACCAAAATAAACTTTGACATATATATATATGTAAGAGAAAGGAGAAGATTTAAATCCATCATAAAACTCACAAGCATTAGTGCAAAAGGAAAGATTGCACTACCTCTCTATGTTCTCCCTTACAAGTTACAACCTTTTCTTGTCCCAACTTGAAAAAGGAAAGAAATAGTTGCACAATGAACTAAGTAATGTGAGGAAAACAAATATATCTAAACCTAGAAATATCAAAATATTAGATATTGTTTAATGCTTGAGTACTAGAGCACCTACTATGAAATTTATACATATACTTTAACTTCTATATTCTCATAATTCTACAGCATGCTAGCAGTTTTAATGAATGAGTCGGACGTTGAAGGAGGGGTTAGATGAAATCAAGCATTCACGTTCTCAGCAACATCTAGAGCGCGGTTGAAAGAAGGGCATGAGCCACACGAACCAAGAGATCGAGGCTGAATGGGGTATAATGGTGCTCAGGTTATCCTTTTTCCACATATACAGTACTTCCTCATCCTTTAAACTGCACAGATTGAAAAAGTTACTCTTATCAGATTTCTACGTTCATTATTGAAAGAATAGTTGGAGTGTGATCGTGCACTACATGTCAATATCATGTCGTTAGATGAAGTTGAAATGTCACACAGTAAATGAAAAGGAGGTGTATACCTGGCAAGATGGGATCATGTAATAGTTCCCTCAAAGCAGAATGTGCGGCTATAGTGAAGTACAGAGCTTTGCCAGATCAGGCACTTGCAATTGCTATGCCAGATTGGATATTAGCAGCAGCAGCGTAGCGAGGTTAAACACTTGCATTTGTAACTCGGCCATTTGCAGCAGCCAACAGGCATGCTTGGCCACTTACAAGAGCAACTTGAGCAGCTTGGACACTTAAAAGAGCAACTCGAGCAGCTTAACCACTTACAAGAGCAACTCGAACAGCTTGGCCACTTACAAGAGCAACTTGAGCAGCTAAACCACTTACAGGAGCAGCTTGGCCACTTAAAAGAGCAACTCGAGCAGCTTAACCACTTACAAGAGCAACTCAAGCAGCTTGGCCACTTACAAGAGCAACTCGAACAGCTTAACCACTTAAAAGAGCAACTTGGCCACTTACAAGTGCAACTTGAGCAGCTTAACCACTTACAAGAGCAACCTGAGCACTTCAATGAGCAGCTTGACCAAATACTACAAGAACAGCATGACCACCAAGAAGACTTTTCTTTCCTACATATACAGTTTGTATTCTATATCAGCTAAATCACAATATTAGGGAATTAGGAACTTCCATTTGCATGCCCATGTGTACTCAAATAGGACACACTAAAATACTAGTCCATGAGACATCAAAGAATACGTGAACAAAGAAACCTAAAATCGCCAATTTCTTTAGACCAAAACCTGTTGCATCAAAACCTGACTGGCCATGATATCTTCTTTTGATACAAACTACCTTATTAGTTGAGGTTTCTTATACAACAAAAACACCAAAAACCAGCATGCAAATAAATTAAGCAGAGATTATTTGTAGTACAGAGAAGTATGGATATTTTTCTTGTTAAGCAAAGAGATCCTCTAATTGGAAATTTTGTACTACCTTTCAAGCTAAGTTAATTGGCCATATTAAATGATGCACTTTAAGTTTCTTCTCAAGCCAAGTTTGTCACCAATTTTTGTAATCACTAATCCTTAACTTGGATAGCCAGTTACAAATATGGTCTGATGCATTCTTACTGCTTGTCTGTATTCGTGTTCTGTCATCTGCTACCAAACACATATTAGCGATAGTCATCTCTGTGTATTAGTGTACTATAAGTACCCACAAGCTGCATTTTTAACACTCTTCTTGAAGTGCATTGATTGTGGCCTTCGTGTATATTTCAAGTTTCATTAATAGAGGTGCTATCTTTCTATGTATATATACATTAAATAAAAAAACACTTAACTAACTAATGAGCAAAGCAGATTCTTTCTTTGTTTAACTCAGGAAAAACCCAAGGAACTAAATGCATGCGCGAAACATTTATTAGCCAAAAACAAAAAGGAGAACGTTACTCACATTGGAGCGGCAGAACACGTGCCATTCCCATCAGAAGGGCGAACAACGCTGCCCCTAAAGTATACATTTCCATCGGGGTAGCCAATTGCAGTAGAACGGTTTATGTTCTCCCCTACTTTCATTTCCTCTCTAAAACAGACTATTCTCTTTGTTGCTTCATCTGAACTTCCTGTTGTTGATGGTTTGTTTACGACATCTACTTTCCTTTCTTTATCAAACATCTTTTTCTTATGTTCTCCTCCTTTTGTGATTGGCAAAGTCTGCCTAAACCTCGTTAGCTCAGACTTATTGTTTTTTTCATTTTTGTCTACTTCTGCACAGTTGTCTCGTTTTCTGGCCCGTTTCAAATCTCCATCAGTCATCACAATATCATCCCTTGCAGGACTACCATTTCCAGGAGTGTGTATACTGAACAATGATTCGGTAGAAGCAGCGCTCCATTCCTTAGAGGATGAATCCTTACTCCCAAAAACGGATGAGGGAATTCTATTGGGATCAAAACCTGCCTCCCGTTTCATTACCTGTATAGAAGGAGATTGTGATATCGTCGAGAATTCAGATTCATGAGTGACATCTGAAACCTGTGGGGTGGAACTTGTAGACGTTGTTTTCGAGGATTCTTTCAATTGATTACATGTAACACTTTGAGATAGAAGTTTTGCATCAGAATGAGATTTGGAAGATGCTACACCTGATGAGGCAGAGGTGAATATTGTTTTTGGATCCACTTGGATGTAATCATCTGAAGAACCGTCTGATGAGGATGTCGAGATGGAAGGGGAATATTCTGAAGTCTTAGAAGATCCTGTTTCACTTTCATCTGTCGTGGTATCTGCATCTCGTCTTCCTATACTCTCTTGGTCAGAATCCATGAGTAAAGTTGGCGGAACAAAGGCCTCAACTTTTTTTTTCGGTTACTGGTGCATCTGTTATCGCCTCCACTTACATATTTACATCCATTACTGAAACACAATTAAAACATCACCTTCAGAATACCATCTACTAAGACGCGCAAAGAGATTTCAGTTACAGCAATAGAACCGGGGACACACACAAAGATGCATTGTTGTTGAAAGGGTAATGTAACATTCATAACAAGCACCATTTCGCGCATAAATCCACTCGAGATGGAGAGGAGGACCACCATTTCTCAGGTTCAGCTACTATATATCTTAGCTTTTTAATGCAGAATGGTGAAGTTATTATTATAATCTTAGTTGCGAGGACTCTTAACTTACGATACCACACCAGACTTTTGAAGAATCTGACACACACATGTCGACTTTTTTGAAGAGTCTGAGCAACATAGATTATACTAATAGAATGCACATGGAGAATTAAAAAAATCGCATATGAAAAAGCAAAGATTGCATGTTTACTACATCAAGAGGGATTGCATTTCATCCCCACACAAAATTTTAAATGGTGTTAATATGTTTTCAAATTTACAATATACCATAACCACCATTTTACATTTCATAATTTCTCCACAATCATGGATAGAACACAATTGACAACTTCAATTGCCTCGGATCTTCAGAACCCCGCCCCCTCGTCTGATTCTCCAAAAATGCATTACTTTTGAGGATTCAATACACGTCAAACAACATTTTTGAAGGATTCGAGCAACATAGACAACTATGCGTCCAATAGAAGTTCCCTTTATAAACTTTACCAAATTTTAACAAAAATTGAGTTTTAATAAAACACAGAAATCAATATAAGGAATTATAATCAACAACTAAATAATAACATGTGACACAAAAAAAAAAAATACCTCACATGAAACAGCTCCAGTAAACTCTGTTTCACAAAAAAATCAATTCCCTGAAGAAAAAAATAATTATTATCAACATGAATAAAACACAATATTTGAGGTAAATCACAAAAAAAAAATGAAAGCATTAAGCAACAAAACATTAATGATCAAAAGCAAGAAAAGGGAAAAAAACCTTGAAATGGGAATTACCTAATTGAAATAAAATAAAACAGATTCATACAATTTGAATTTTTTATTTGTTTCTGAATATTCATACAATTTAAGGATTAGGGTTTTGGAGAAAAAAAATAATAGAGAAGAAATATAATTAGTTTCGATTTCTAATTTTCCTAAAAATAACTAACTTATTTATATTCTGTTGGCGCCAACAATATTCTAATAATATTGTTTTATCACGTGATATGCACGTGCATAATAACATATAAATAGTAAATTCATCTCTCTGGCTAATATTTGTTTTACTTTTCTTTTTAATTCGTCTAAAAAAGAATAATTCTTTCCTTTTAATATATGTTCATTCTAATTTTTCACATGACATTTTTAAGATCATGTTAAATTAAAATCAGACAACAAATTAAAATCGGGGAAGTATGATGATCAATATTTGTGTGATCATGATACAATGACCAAGATAAAAAATTTTATGAAATTTTTCCTTTTTTTTTTTTTTTTGATATATTGAAAAAAGATTTGAAAAATTCAAAACCGTTCATATGGTTCATATATTCAACAATTGTAGAAATTGTAATGCATTTGCATTTAAATAGAAATATCAGGTATTTAATAATTATATAAAATAATAATATAGTTAATTTATAAGTATTTTGTAATGTATTTGCAAATAAATATCAGGTAATTATTAATTACTAATATAGGATAATATTTTAGTTGATTTAGAAGTGTAAAATATACCTAGTTGAAATAAAGAAAGAATTACTAATAAAAAAAAATTCATTGATTTCAGATTTTCTATAATTAGGTAAGTAATAATTAATAGTAACTATATAAGATGTAATATTTTAATTAATTTAAAAGTGAAAAATATTAGGACTTCTTACCTAATTAAAACGAGGAAAGACTCAATAATAGTAACGAATTTCATTTATTTCAGATTTTCTATTACCATCCATTTTTAGTTGTCATGTAACGCTTTTCGAAAGTCAATTTGACTAATTTTCACAGTTAAATTAAATTACATTAATTTGATATTTTAAACAAAAAATTTAGATATTCAAAAACTATAAGAAAAATACTATAAATAACAATTTTTTACATATTAATATGATGAAAAAATACATCGTAAAATATTAGTTAAAATTCTTATAGTTTGACTCTAAAAAGGGAAACCATGACAATTAAAAGCAGGCATACAAATAGAGTAATTAATAATTATAATAAGGAAAATTTCAAAATATTAAGTCAATAAAATTATACAAGATAGTATTTATTTAATTTTTAAGTATAAAATAATAGAATTTCTTACTTAGTTGAAATAAGAGCACTTACAAATAAAAAACTTCATTGATTTTGGATTACCTATTAGGTAATTAATAATTGTATAAGGTAATATTTTAATTAATTTAGAAGTGTAAAATATTAGAACTTTTTACATAGTTAAAATAACGAAAGACTTAGTAATAAAAACTTTCATATATTTCGAATTTTTCTATTATTAGGTATTTAAAAATTATATGGGATAACAATTAATTGTTTTGGAAGATTAAAATATCAGGTGTTGTTACCTAATTGAAATAAGAAAGAATTACTAATAAAACATTTCATTGATTTCAGATTTTCTATTATTAGGTAATTTATAAATAATATCTTAACTGATTTAGAAATGTAAAATATTAGGATTTCTGACCTGATTAAATAAGTAAAGACTCAATAATAACAAATTCTATTGATAACGGATTTTCTATTATTAGGTAATTAATAATTATACAAGACAGTGTTTTGATTGATTTAGAATTTTAATATTAACACTTATTACTTAATATTTTCTTTTTCCTTTATAATAATACTAAATACTAGCCGTTACTTTAGGAGATCCTAATAATTAATTATTTTCTCCTTCATTTCTCATTCTTTCTATCAAATGTAATGTTTTTTTTTTATCTATAAAATATTGATACAAATTTTCTTATAATATCGTTAAAAACCTTGATTGTAGTTTATCATCGAAAATTGTTGTTTTCTTTGTAATTCAATACTCCATAAACAAGGTTAGAATCTCAACCCCTTGTATTTTTTTGACGTCTATTTATCTTGACGTGATTAATTATTTTGAAATTATGAATTTGTAAAAATATTAGTGTACGAAAACATTTTTGAAGAATCATGCAAATTTTATGTAGGAATAACAATGTAGCGGTGTAGGGGCAGAGCATTGCCCTGCATTACACTTTCAACTCTGATCTACTTGCCCCACATTCATTCGTCCCACCCCGCTTATCTTAAAAGATATCTCAATTCTGAACTTGATTTGTCAATTAATAAGTTCACAATCACATTTTACTATAGAAAAATGGAATGTACTTTCTTTCTGACTACTTTCAAGCGAAATATATTTTACATAGTAGATTCTATCTCAATCAAGGTTTCTACTTATTAAATTTATATTTTTAAGATTTAAATTTTGAATGTCTAATGGTGTGTATGTACAGTTTTTATAAGATTATCTACTATTTTAAACTAATCATTATTTTATTTTTATATTATAAGTAGCAAAAATGAACACTTTCATCAACAATAACAAGTCGAGCAAGAAGAAAGTGGTGTTTGTAATGGGAGCAACAGGAACAGGAAAATCTCGTCTTTCTATTGACCTTGCCATTCATTTTCAAGGAGAAATTATCAACTCTGACAAAATGCAAGTATATAAGGGACTTGACATAATTACCAACAAGATCACGGACATTGAGAAACAAGGGGTACCACATCATTTGCTAGGTAAATATTTATTCACGCTCAATATTTATACCAAGTAACTACCCAGACAATTTAGGATGGTAGTTATATATTCAAGTGAAAAATGCATGTTATTATTTTAAAAAAATTTATGTTAGAATCGTGGTGTCTAAGCAACTTAATTGTGGTGATTATATATTTGGTGAGGATGAATATTATTTTTTAAATTTTTTATTTCTTATTAAATGTGGTGTTTGAGGATTAACTTGCACATACTTCAACTAATTTTGTAAGGTATTTATTATTTTTCATGGACTTAACTATCGGTGATTATTTTTATCAAAACTTGAATATATGAAAACAAATATTGAGTGTTTCATCTTTAGAAATTATCTCTTGTTTTGATCAATTAAAGATTTAAATGTGAAACGTCATAATTTGTATTCACGTAATTGAATATGCATGCTATTTGACTATATTTATAACTATGAGCATGTAAATGTAAATATTATTTGAAGTGAATATTGATTGCTCATTAAGTTTTTTCATACTTGCAAGGTGAAATTGAGGCAGATGTTGACTTCACGGCAGATGATTTTTGTATTCAAGCCATTATTTGTATAGAAAAGATTTTGAAGTCAAAAAATATTTCAATCATCGTTGGAGGGTCAAATTCATACGTTGAAAAACTTGTGGAAGACCCTGTATTCATGTTTAAATCTAATTATGATTGTTGCTTCATCTGGATTGATGTTGCCGCCTTACCTGTTTTGAACTCTTTTGTTTGCCAAAGGGTTGATCAATTGGTCCATGCAGGTCAGTTTCTTTTCATTTTGTATAATATATAATTCATTAAGACTATAAACACTTACATAACATTTGCCATGTCTTTTTTAATATCTACACACTTATTATAATATGATAATATACAAGTCAATTTGTATGAGCCTCAATATCTTTATTGAATATTATTTTTGGAGAATAAACACATGACATTTGACTTGTCTTTTATCATACATGTACATGTTCATATATATATATATATAACTTTTAAATAACTTGATAAAGTAAAAAAAATATTACACAATCACTCTATCAAAACTCTTGAATTAGATTTTTTTAAAAAAGTAAAAATTTTATGTTATTTTTACCATCTAATCTTTCTTTTAATTTAAACAACAATAATGCACTATTATGTAAATCAATCCATCAAAACCTTAAGCCAATAAAAAATAATTATTTAATATTTTTATTAACATATTTGTTTTATATTTTTTCTATTTTCAAATCTATCTCCAAATCAATCGAATAACTTTAAAAATTTATATCGCATGCAGGACTAGTAAATGAGGTACGAATAATATTTGTTTCAGATGCAGATTACACAAGAGGAATTCGACGGTCTATTGGTGTTTCTGAAATGGACAAGTATTTAAGAGAAGAAAATAAACTAGACAATAATGAAGTATCTAAAAGGAAGCTTCTTGAATCTGCAATTGAAGAAATAAAGCTTAATACATGCATATTAATATGTCACCAACTTGAGAAAATTCGACGATTGAAAAACGAGAAAATGTGGCCATTGAATTATATTGATGCAACTAATGTTTTCCGAAAAATCGGAAAAAAAGGCGCTGATAATGCGTGGAAGGAAATTGTATCGAAACCTAGCTTGAAAATAGTAGAAGAATTTCTCAAGTATGATGGTGACAAAATAAATCATGTTGAGGCTGCATAAACAAATATTATATTTAAGTGTTTCTATTAAAAGGAATTTTATTTCAATTATTTTCTTTAGATTAAGGTTGTGAAATAATAAAGTGAAGATCCATCTTTCTATTTATTATATTGATCTCTTATTTTGTTACAATTTCCCGTTAGATTGTTAGTTAAAAAGCTTAAATATGTTATAACAATTAAAAATGATTAATCTTATCCATTCGTTTAAAAATAGGCTTATCTATGCTAATTTTATTACAAAAAATAAAAATAGTTCATTCATGTCATTATTTTGTAACAAAAATACGTCTGATATTTTGCAAAATCATTTATGCTGCGTTGCCTCTTATTAGAGGTTCATGTCACCTAATTAAATGCTTCATTTCCCCTTTTCTATTATGTATTTTTATCTCTTCTCAATTATTTTTTTACTTTAGTTATCTTGAGAAAATAATATATATATATATTAAGCAACATAAATTTAACAATGTGATGGAAAATTCCCGTTCAACCAATGACATAACTACCCTCAATCAAAAAATGTTAATTAAAACTCTTTGGTTGAAAATTTTCATGACGTAGATAGGTAAAATAATTTTTTTTATACAAATGACAGTAATAACAAAGTTTGACGGTACGTACATATAATATAATTGTGCACTTCCATTATATTGAGCATTAATTTATAAAACTCTTCCCCAATAAATATATCAATTTCAATTACCAGGAGATTATCCGATCATATTCTTATTATCATGGATATTAAGTAAGCTAAAAAGGAGGTAATTAACTTCTCTCCTGCTTTAATACGAAGCACTAGAATTTTATTCAATAGATAACACAAATACATAATTTTAAAAATTACAACCACAAAAGTATATATTTAGTAGCTTATTATATAACATAGTGTCATAGACAACACAATATACTTTATGCCTATAATTTTTAAATGTTTTTTTGCTTAAGCTTTATGTAAAGCAATATTGCCACCAATGCAATACTTCTCATTGCAGTTTGTCTCATTATCTGCAAAATTAATGAATAATTCGGATTGGAGCATGGAAAATATATATATGGAATGTCTCAAATATATTTAAAGCTTCTTATATTAATGTTTGGCTTTAGATCATCAATTTTGTTGAATCGATCTAACTACATAAGGATAAAATAAGAACGCTATAATATGTTTAAATTCAATTGAATAGCTAGCAAGAGTACAAGAAGTGTTAGTTACATACAATATTTGGTAATGAGAAATTTGTAACAATAGCCAAAGGAACATCCAACGTTACAAATGCAATTTGCAGTTTCCACCTTATAAGCAGTATTAACTGATCTAATAAAATAACATTTCTTAACACAATTAAAATAGCAGGCAGAATTTTTACCACAAAATTCCTTACTCTTAGCAAGTGGAAACAAACACTATAGTAGAATAGTTCAACATCTAATTGTATTGAATAAAGGTCCATACACTAATAACATTGTCTTTGTTATTCTCATTATAACATTGTTTGACTAAATTCCACAGTACCCGAGTTTTCGATCCTAACATAGCAAATAAACTAAGGTGTATAGATGGTGATCAATATCTACATACATAAACATCAATACATGTATTAATTCGATTTGCGTTTCCCTGCAGATGCCATGAGGATTGCAACAGCTGCTATGAACATGATCAACATTCCTGCAATAAGCGTATACGTTCTTCCTGATGATCTTCGATACTCTCCGAACAATATTACACCCCAAAATGTGCTCACAAGAGGCAGTGCCTGAACAAGTTAAACATCAAAATCAATCGCTTGAATAACTAATAAAACGAAAAGGAATGGTGGCTTTGATAAATGCACAAACTTGAACAGCATCTGCAGCTGCATATCCAGCAGCTTGACCTCCTATAAATTGAAGACCATTTCCAAAGCCACTCAAAAGTCCAGCCAAAAGAGCCCAACCTCTGCCATCCCAATCGTTCACGTAACACATCAATGATGATTTGGGTGCATTTAGAACAGGACGATACAAGAACGTGAAGTTCAGAATCGTTGCCAGTAAAGAACTGGAAACTGAGAAGTAGAAAAACGCCGTATAGACACTCAAGTGAGGAACTCCATCTTTTAGAGTATGCCACTGATCATTTGTAGCCAGGTTGAATGCAGGGGAAAACAGAGAAAGACAAGCTCCAGCAAAGAAGGTAATAGCTAGACCAATGTAAGTGCTCTTCCCAAACACCTGCATTGACCATCTAACAGATTACGCATGTTCTTTTAGTGTGTGTACTAGATTAACAAATCAATCAATTATGCCTCAATCCCGAGGAGTTTGGATCGACTGTACTATAGAAAGACAAGTTGGAGACTGAATTTTGATACCAATTAACAGAAGTGGCAATTTGAGTAAGAATTTCTAACCTTCATTGCCCTTTTGTTCTCAACTTCTATAAGGAACAGCGCAGTTCCGGCCTTTGCCTCTTCCTCTCCATTCTCCAAGTCATTCATATCGACTGCAGAACGTCTATACATTAACTAAAAAGGTGAATACGAAATCCACCAATCTGATAAAAATGAAGAAGACATGAACTTCAAAATGTTCCAGTAGCTAAAGTACCTGTATTTGTATTTGTTCGTGTAGAGTCAGTAACATCTTTTGTCCTGCCAAAGATTTAACCAAACTAAAATCAATCTCTCGCAATCAATCGTGGAATCTTACATAGATATGTGGTGTGAAATCTTCAACAGACTGTCCACATATCCTGCCCTCGAGGAGGTAGTGACTACGAAAGAGAGAGGAAATATTGCACAAGAGATGTAAAACACGAAGTCTTCCCTCCCCGTATGGAGAATTCAAAATTGCAATATGTTCTTGAACTGATGCATACCCAACCCCATTGTTAGAGTCAATTGAAAAATAATCAAGTTTTTCTTTGTTATCAGCTGCATTGGACGCATGAACAGCAGAGCCTAGACAAACAGCAATCAAGAAGCATCCAACGCCAGGAAAAAGAATCTCAGCTTTGTTAATTTTGTCATCAAGGTAATAATTCAACGTCGTTCCTGCCATAACCAAAGCAAGAACACACATCAAATTCCAACATACTATTGATATCAGTAAAATGTAGATCACTGGAGCTAATATGATACCTATAACAACCGTAATACTTGCAGTGATGACCTCGGTGACTGATAAACCAACGAAAGCCCATGCATATTGAGTTGAAAGGTTTCCAAGACTGAGGACCACACCTCCAGCAATCGCAAACCAGACGCTAGGCCAATTGTCCTGCACCTTTCATCCATAAAGAAGCTATGTCAGTAAGGATCACAATTCTAACTCTTCGATTTAATCTATCAGAATACACATATTTGATCAATAGTGGAACATGGTTTTCATTGCTTCAGCTTCAACGATCTGTTGAAAACGCGGAAAAGTTACAACCATTAAGCCAGAAGAACATAACACATCTCTACGTTAAGTCAAACATGTGAAACTCCATACATTCCAAATGACAAACAATATCAACAACAATAACACAATTACGTCTTAATACCAAACTAGCTCAAGTCGGCTATACAAATCCTCTAATCTCTATATCCGTGAACTCAACTCACACCCTAAAAGCTAGCTCAAAGGGAACAGGATTGATCAAGCCTTATAAAGAGACCATACATTTCATTGACTACTGATATGAAACTTTTTCCTTCTTTAACACAATCATATGTTCACTTTTTAATGAGTCCACAACTTGCCACTAACCTGAGAAAGTTGAGTGAAAAAATTTGGCTGTTCCATTGAACTCCTCCCAATCTCACCAACAGTAAAAGCAATGAGCGTAGCAGCGAAAAGATTGGTGATTGTATAGTCAAGATAAGTATGTTGAGGAAGACGACCTCGTCTTTCAAGTAAAGTAAGCAAAGCAGGCCATGTCCCCAAAAATAACAGAGAAAATAGCATACAAGTTATAGCCCCTGCTTTACTCTCCACCAAATACATATTCAAAATCACCCTTTCAGCTGAAACTTCAATAAACTTAGAAATGCTCTAACAACCCTAAACAAAAAGGAAAATATTCAAGATTCAAGTATTGAACATATATCAATAACAACAACAACATATCCAGTGAAATCCTACAAGTGGAATTTGGGGAGGATAGAATGTACGCAGACCTACTAACTACCTCCATGAGAGATTGTTTCCGAAAGACCCTTACTCAAGTGAAGAAGAAGGAGACCGTGTAGAAAAGAGAGCAAGTAACAAGGAAACAATGCAAAGTCTATTAGAAGTGAGCAAAGACAACAACAGAATAATGCGATAATCCATGAACGATATACTAGGACAAGTTTATTGAACATATACATATAATAATCTAATATGATAATATATGGCACTATGTTTGTGTTACCTGGTCCATTTTGTTTGTGTCTCAGTCACCTCCAAGATTACCAATATGCAAATGAGTTTATATTATACCTAATGTAAAGGGGAATATGTGAGACAACCATGTTGTAGTTTACACTTGTCAAGTTTGTCCGGCAAACTATATATTATCATCATGAGGTGTCATAAAAGAAATCACCTTTCTGCAGTGAAATAAGTCATTCACACGATCATTTTTTTAAATGATCTGATACGAACACATTAATATTTTGAAAAGTACGAGCAACATAGATTGAAATAGTCCCTTTAGAGTTCATGAATAACAAATCTGCAGCGCCTGCCTGCCTGCCTCTGTCATATAACAGAGCTAAAAGGTAATAGACAAAATTGACTAAAAATAGCATAAGCTTTTATATCCTTACATTTCCACATATTGCAGCACATATTTTTGACATAATACATAAAACATGTTCTTAAACTTAGCTTCTGATATTTATGTTCTTTAATTTTGATGTACACAAGTCATCACTTAAATTTGTATATAATTAAATAAGTAGATACACATGTCCTACGTGACATAATACACATAAAATGCCAATAAGATGCAAAAATTGGCCACGTGGGACGTCACATAGAACACATATGTCTACTTGTTCAATTTTATATAAATTTAAGTGCTTATTTATATGTACCCAAAATCGAAGGAGATAAAATACAAGCTGAAACCAAATTAAAAGACATACTACTTATTTATTTATTTTTATTTTATTTTATTTATTTATTTATTACATATAAAGCCTATGAGGAACACACCTGTAATTATATTGTCTGTTTAAGAACACACTTGTAATAAATAAAAATAACTAATCATTAAGAATTGAATTACGTATGATTTCAAAAGAGGCAATAGTTTATTCATAACTTACATAATAGCTTTATGCGGCTTGTTAATTACGTATGTTATTATTATTACTATATTACTATTATCTTTTTTTAATTTCAATAGACGTGAATGAATAAAATACCTCAATCATATGGTTTCGTGTCATTTTCTTTATGCTTGTTACATTTCTCTTTTCCTCGTGGAAATATATGACCAACTTGATGACCACAATTTTTAAAGATATATCTTAGAAAATATATTTGTATCATTTAGTTTATTTTTATGATTCTTCCCGTAAAATTTGCCAAATTGCCATGTAGCATGTTATATAGGATTCATGTGTTCACCTATTATACAAGCTTAAATATATACTTGTCCACACCTGAAGTCGGAGGGGGTAAACGAAACGTTTATGTATTATCTCAAAAAAATAAATAAAAATACAGCCTCTTCCTTTACTCATATATGATAAGGGGGCAGGGATCAGATTCTTCTACATAAAAAATTTACTAACTATGGGAATCCAATTCCAACTTTTCAAAGCAACCATAATTAGATAGAAAGACCAGAAAAGCAGAAAGAAAGAACTAAACAAAGATTCTTCTAAATATGGACTTTCCTATCTCCTCTTTTACTTTAGACCCTTGTGCATAAAAAGCTTATAGCCAAAAGGGCTAAAGTGAAAAAGATACTGTTTTGGAGATGCATAGCTGCATTGCCGTCTATGCCAACGCTACTCGGTCCAAGCCCAAAAGTTGGATTAATGTTTCCCCCGGGTGTAGTCACTATGCCTGTCCCCGTGCCAGATCCTGGAGTTGTAGTGCCCGGTGGTGCAGTCGTTGGAATGGTAGATCCTGGTGGTGTGATTGTTGGAGTTGTGGTTCCTGGCTGTGCGATTGTTGGAGTTGTGGTTCCTGGTGGTGCTGTTGTAGGAGTTGTGGTTCCTGGTGGTGCTGTAGTCGGAGTTGTTGTACCTCCACCAGTGTTGCTGGAACAAAATTGAAAATGAACATCACAAAACACGAATCACTTCAAGTAGTATCAAGTATTTTTTCTTATATAATCGAGACATTTCCAAAGGGGTAGTGGTGCAGGACTCGAAACTTGACATAGATAATGACCCCCGGCTCACTACCCTTCTGCACCTAACTACTAACTTTTACTTGCATCAAAGGTTCAAAACCGTAACATGAACTAATCCACACATCACGAGCTGCCCTCTCACCAGCCCTCCGGCCAAAACAAACTATATACTAAATATAATAAGATAGAAACAAAAATCAGCACTAAGATTTGTGGTTGCTGATTGCAAAGAAAGTAGGAACTAACTTGATTACCACTAACATGCCTTAATGTCATCATTAAGGCTGCTAACTAGGGCGCTTAATGATGAATTAAAAGCCATCCAACATTATCATTTCAAAGAAAATAATTGTAACAACCAGACAAAGACGAAATTACCTCTGTTTGAAAATTTGGCTAGGGAAGGACAAATTGGCAACACCAATCTTACTTTGAATAAAAGTAACCAATTTGGAAAAAGTAACTGACTAATTAGCTGGCCATCTCGATCATTCATTGAGTTCGTATCTTGTCACTAAATACTAATAACTCCAGCTAGCTAAACTGCTAAAGCGTAAGTTCAGAGCTAGAAGCCCAAGTATGAGTTTAGCCGAATCAATGTACTAAAAAATTCACTAAATATAGAAAAAAAATTAAATTGAGAATCTCAATTACTAATGCCTAATGTGCTATCTTAGAATTTACCGCCCATAAAGTTCAAATTCTGGCTCCGTCTTTGGTTACTTGAACATAATTTTACTTACATTTCTAAGGTAACCATTAGCCAGTTGTTCAAGATTAATCCTAAAGGCCTCATTTTTATTTCTTTGTTAACTTTTTCCATAACGAAAAGGATTTAGCATACATGTATATTACTTCAGTTCTCGCAATATTATATTAAGATAATGCTTATAAGTTATACCCTTTAACTTGATCGGACCTCACATTTATATATGCTCTCTAACTTATGGTGAACACAAGTATCTTTAAACTTGTATCAAGTTGAACAAATAAACAAATGTGTCATATGTAAGATCCTACACGACAATTTAGGTCCTACATATACTATGTCGCATAAGACTTATGTATATACTTGTTCAACTTTATACAAGTTTAAGTATCTGTTTGTGCATATCTAAGCTCGAAGGATATAAATGTGAAATGAGACTAACTCATGAAACACATTTATGTATTATGCTTTTAAAAATAAGGAATGGAAACTCAAGATCTAAGTTATTTAATACAACTATAGAGAACAAAGAACATACCTTGGACTGGATTGATAGACACACCCAGAACTTGCAGCTGTTGATAAAGAAAATAAAATAAGTAAATCTATAAATTGATAATCACATAAAAAAAAATTAAAAAAAGAATAGTTATTTTATTTTTCTAGAGAACTTACTAGTAGGTGGATTTGGGCTCGTAGTTGCAGTTCCACTAAAATCACAGCTAGCACCAGCTTGACCTTTTCTTTGATAATAACTATTTACAGCATAATTGCAGTGATCTTTGATAGTGTTAGGGTTATAGCAAGGACCATTTTGAGTGATTGGTGTACAATCAGCTCCAGCTCCACAAGCATAATCTATATTCTTTTGGAGTTGTTGATCACTTACTCCATCTTTACAAATACAGTACAAACCACCTATAGTTGCACAACCAAAAGAAAAAATCAGCTCAAAAACAAGCAAATTCAAAACTCATAAACTTCATATTTTGACTTCGACACTGGCACAATGGATTACTTACTTGAGTGACTAGTGATGGCCAAGAAGAGTAGTGAAAATAGTAGAAAAGTGGTCATGGTAGTGGCAAAATTGTGGAAGAAAACAGAGGAAAGAAGAAGATAAAAGTGGAAAGGTGAATAAAGTTGTGTAGACAACGCAAACAAGAATGACGGTGGAGATTTAGATGACACTGTGAGGTGGAGAGCTAGATGTTAACCAACCATTCAACCATGTGCTCTAGAGGATGTTCTCTGAGATCTCGACTTTGAATTCTGAATTTTGATATAAATGAACTTTACATAATATAAATTTGAAATAATTTAATTTTAATATAAATATCGAATATTTGAGGAGAAATTTTTTTAAAAAATAGTATCACAAGTAATGTTAATGGGAAAAATACAAAAAGCACTTCTATTTTAATATACTGACTTGCCACTAATTAACTCAATGTGTTTTAATATAAATGAGTGATACTTTATCTTCGTATTAAAAGTGAAGTAATTTTATTATTATATCACAATTTATGTTGATAATATTTTTTTGATATTAGAATTAATTAATTTTAAAATTTTTTATCAAATAAAGAGTTTTGTTGGTTTTGTTTCCTTATCATATTTTTTTTCTTTTGTGCTGTCACTCTAGGTTTGTAATGTACTATTATAGATAGTGTCCCTTTGTGCATTGAATGGGGGGCAGAGTATGTAAGCATCAGGATTCAACAATCATCTCATACTCTTTCTAACGACAAAAGTTACGGTCAGACAGAATGAACTAATCCACATGTTAAATATAGTAAGCCTGGTGGTAGATTTCAAATAGTTTTCATATTTTTAATGATGTAACTAATTATAATAGGGAGAGGCGTGAGCGAGAATAGGAGAGAGGCGTGAGAGCGGAATAATAAATGTATCTCAAATACATGTAAATCATATTAAATAAATTATGAAAAGCAAATACATAGAGAAAGATGCAAGAGAGATAGGATAGAAGTGAGTGAAAAAGGTAAATACATGTGAATTCACTTGAATATCGTATATTTAGAATGAATTACATCTTATTTTAACTCCATATATTCAAGATATATATATTACCGAGATAGATGTATTTAGACACACTAGATCTGTTTATCTCTCTCCATTTCTTACTATTTTCTATTTTTCATACATAAAACTTATTTTTCCTGCCTCCCTTTCTCAGCTCCCTTCAAGAAAAACAAATTCCTAATGAGGCAAACTTTACACAATTTTCCCACACAAATGTTAAAACCTACAACTTTCAAGTCTTTCACCTTCCTCCAATCACCCCATCGTCTTCTTCACACCCCACCCACCCCCTCTGCTGTATCACCACCCCCCAACCCAATCCAATTTGCTCCTCAACTCCATTCTCCAAACCCCATTAAACCAGTAAATGAATCTCACCTCCTAAGAGTTTCTACAATTCTCTACCAGCAACAGTACTCATCTGACCAGAAACTCCACAACAACCTCTGCAAAACACCATTTGACCTCACCCATGAGTTTTTCCTTCAAATCTGCAACAAATTCCAGTATTCTTGGAGACCCATTTACAAATTCTATCAATTTACCAAGACCCAACCCCATTTCAACCACACCCCCGTCACCTTCAACAAAATGCTAGATGTAATTGGAAAATCAAGAAACATTGACCTTTTCTGGGAAGTTCTACAAGAAATTGGAAGGTGTCAGTTGGTTACCCCTAAGACTTATGTAGTTGGGGTGAAAACTTTGGCTTCTGCTAGGGAGTTGAAGAAATGTGTTGGAGTTTTTCATTTGATGAATGAGTATGGATATGGGTATAGTGTTGATGTATTGGATAAGGTAGTTGAAGCTCTTTGTAGATCTAAGCTTGTTGAGGAGGCTGAGCATGTTGTATTGAAGTTGAAAGATTGGGTAAAACCAGATGAGGTTACTTATAGATGGTTGATTTACGGGTTTTGTGATGTTGGTGATGTGATTGAAGCTTCAAAGATTTGGAATTTAATGGTGGATGAAGGTTTTGAACCTGACATTGCGTCGATTGAAACTATGATTGAGACCCTTTTCAAGAATAATAGATATGTTGAAGCGTTGAAGGTTTTTCAATCTGTTAGAGTAAATAGGATGAGTGAATTAGGGGTTTCAACTTATAGGTTGGTGATCAATTGGTTGTGCAAGAAAGGGAAGCTTGGAGAGAGTTACTTACTGTTTGAAGAAATGGAAAAGAGAGGGATTAAAGCGGACAATCTTACATTAGGATCGATAACGTATGGGCTTATGAGTAGAGGAAGGGTTATGGAGGCGTATAGGGTTGTGGAAGGAGTAGAGAATCCTGATATAAGTGTTTATCATGGGATGATCAAGGGACTGTTGAAATTGAAAAGAGCAAGTGAAGCAACTGAAGTATTTAGGGAGATGATTAAAAGGGGATGTGAGCCGATAATGCATACGTATGTTATGTTGTTACAAGGGCATTTAGGGAGGAGAGGGAGGAAAGGATCAGATCCTCTTGTGAATTTCGATACCATCTTCATAGGAGGTTTGGTTAAGGCGGGGAAGACGTTGGAGGCAAACAAATATGCAGAGAGATTACTGTACAGGAAAGTTGAGGTGCCTAGGTTTGATTATAACAAGTTTTTGCATTATTATTCCAATGAGGAAGGGGTTGTTATGTTTGAGGTGATGAGCAACAAACTTAGAGAAGTTGGGCAATTCGATTTAGCTGATATATTTGCAAGGTATGGGGAGAGAATGGCAACTAGGGATAGGAGGAGAATTAGAACAACAGAGTCATGACTGCTATGACACCAAGTTATATTTCCAAACAAACAACGGTCAAATGGTGCTTGCCTGTAATTGAAATTCACTGGCAGGGAGCTTCGAATTGGCCCATGTAAACCCCAGCTAGTGTCATATACTTCGCTCCCTTTCTTCTGGTAGTTGCACTTGGAACCTAATCTGCAGAATATACATAACTCAATGGGAAAAGGAGAGGGGAGGTAAGCGCGTAAGTTGTTCTCAACTGGCTTGGGGAACAGTTCGAGAAAGAGGTTCCATACCGGCAATCCAAGAACTTAGAATTGTCAAGCACTTCCTCAAGACATAGAAATATGGCAATGAAGACGTCCACTGAACTGTTAGTCACAAATCCAGGATTATCCATAAGAGTCTGTAGAGCTAAAAAAACAAGGTGTATCTTGGGAAGCCATTCATTATGATTGATTCTTACATTTTGTGAAAAAAATCTCTTGCTTTGACAGAAGGTGATTCATCACTACACAACATTTAGTTACAAATTGAAAAAATATGTTAATAAACTGAAAAGGTAAAGAAAAACAATGCTGAATGAATTGCTACATGAATCTTTTGTAAGGGGAAATTCTTCTTTCTCTGCTGTCTCTATTCCAGCAAACTACAGATTCCAAAAAATTATATTTCCGCCTTTGAGGCCACCTTATTATCCATCTAAAAGGATGTCAAGATTGAGACGTGGCCGTGCAGCTTGTGGCCTGGTAAGATTAAAAAACAAGTCTCACCGCTACATACTAAAAAGACATTTGCAGGGAAACAAAATGCAGAAATCTGCAGGGGAAAAGCATGCGAGCACACACACATACATGGGACAAGGAGTGGCTAATCATTGGATTGTGAATTCCACTTCAAGATGATCACTTTCTCACGAATGATTTTTGGCATACGAGTAGTCGTTGGTCACTTCCATCCTGGAGGTCAATTACCCTGGCTTCCCAGCGCATTTGTGTTGCTACCATCCGCACTTTCTCTATAGGGCCCAATTTATCAGAGAGAATAATCCATCCCTGTCAAATTCACATGTTAAAACAGTCAAGGAATCAAGCAAACATGAGTGACACATTTTGAAGGTGTTTTCAGTTATCAAATAGAACAGGAAAGATAAGAGAGAATATCAAGCAATCAATGAGCTACGCCTGAATCCCAAACCTTAAATAGAACAGGAAGATAAGAGTATCAAGCAATCAATGACCTACGCCTGAATCCCAAACGTCAAAAGATGAAAACATAGATCATATGGCCAACTCCGACCCAGGACCCCAACCCCGACCCAGTATCCGACTTCCGATCCCAACTTGGGACTTGACTCCCGTCTCTTGACCAAAACCAAGACCTGACTCCAAATCCCGACTCAGGACTTGACTTTCGACCCCGACTCACGATCTAAACCCAACCTTGACTTCGACTCAGGACCATTTATTTTCTAGAAAAACGTTTTCTAGGAGTACACAAAAATATTTTCCTTCATACCAAACATACCCTAAAAGTAGAAAAAGAAGAAAAAAATGTTTGTAGTTTGGGAGTACTTATTTCTTTACATAATAACAAGTATATTATCCATATAATCTGTTGGTTTACCCATTATTTTTCCATATCAAAGATGTGTGGGTCGGATACTTTATCCATTTTCACCTGACTCATTTTTGACCCACTCATATCTGACTCGATCCGCCCATTTTCCACCCCTAAGCATATCTAAGTAAAGCAGGCTTATATTTAAAGAAAGAGTAAAATGAAAAATGATCTAAAAGTGCAGACTTCAAATACAATATTACCTCAGGCCGTAAGATTCGGTCCATCTCAAAAAGCACTTCAACTATACTGCATCCTTGTGATTCAAGGTGCGAAAGAAGTCCATTACCATGGAGCAAATCATATGTTCGTGGATATGTAGGAAAGGGTTCACACCTGGCCCAATATTAAGAACATTGGATATCAGTCTCAAACATAATTCTTCAAACACATATGATTGAATCCAATATCAAGGGAAAAGCGTGAGTAAGAAAACAATGATAAACATCCGGTGAGGATAAGGTCAAGCTTGTTATGTTGATTATGGCTCTGGGTTTTTCATTTTATCTTCAACTTATCCTCACTGGTCAAATACATTGCTTTATGGCAGAAAAGATTTATAAGGATCAGAAAAAGGTACAATTACAATACAAACTATACTATGTTTATGAGTCTTCAAAACCACACATTAAGTTTGGAGATGGTTATATTAAATTCAACATCAGGATCATTTGATATTATTACCATCCGTCTAATATGTTCGAGGTCAGCCATTATAGCATTGTCTGATTTTACGATCCATCTAATTGTAGAAATCATTTAAGTGATTTATGATCACATACATTACGAGAAACACATATTGCTACTTAATTCACAAAGTTCTGTGATTTTCTTCACTAAAATAATCTGCAAGATGATCGCAGAATCCACAAACTTAAGATAGATCCAAAAGCGCATAAATCTCAGTGTCTATAGTAGAATGGCTTACCAGTTATGCAAAATGCCAGCAAAGCCTCGATCAAGTATCAGAGGAAGTGTATTATGCACCCCAAGAGGCACAACATTCATCACCCAAACTGACTTTCCTGCCTCCAACAATGCGGCATTTAAACCCCCATAATGAGCATTCATGTCCAAGACATTCCGCACCATATTATACGGAGGCAATGGATCGTCATCACCTGGCCTCTTTGGATGGTCAGAGAAAATCAAGGGTGACAGCAAAGACCAATAGTTTCGCACAGCTGATTTCCAGAATTCTGAATCCTCAAAGAAATTGTCAGGATAAACTCCTGCCATAGAACAAAACACAGGCAATGATTGCATGTTAACAATAAAGAGCCAAATGGCAGGAAATTAGAGAATGACGGTAAAGGTGAACAAACCAATTTTATTTAGATAAACTTGCCATGAACTTTGAGCTCAGTTGAGTTCATAGAATCAGATCTGCTATGAATTGGAATCCATCGATCACTGCCTGTTCCAGATATACAATGTGCAAGTGGCTGGTAGTACAGTTGCATATCCTGTCCTTTACAAATTGGTATAGTATCCTGCTTGCTACATTAAAAGGCAAAGCCAATTAGAGAAGGTAAACAACAACATACCCAGTGCAATTAGAGAAGGTCAGGTGGGAAAAAAAGCATAAAAATGAAAACTGTAACTTGAAAAAGAGAACAGAAATGGAAGACATCTGCATCAAAGTCTGAGCATGAAGGGAGAGCTTTTCCGTAACTTTTTAGCAGGGTGTGGGAGGGGTAAAAGTACGGTTTTTAAAAGTGAAAACAAGTACAGTCAAATTTCTCTATAACAATCATTCGTTATAACAACATTTCACTATAACGGTCTGATTTTCTCCAGAACTGATTTTTCATGTTATATTTTACATTTTCTATAACAACATTCTACCTATAACAACAATGACAGTCATTATAGCAATACACTTTTTGTAAATTACCCCTCTATAATAGCTATTCTCAAATATTGTGTAATAATATTTTGTAAGAAATATATTACGTATAAAATAAAATATTAAAACATTTATGATAATCATCATTAATGTTATGCACATAGTAAATTTCAAGCATGAATATCAATCTAAAGAAAACAAATTGTATTTAAACGGTGCCCATAAGTTATGGACATATTAACTTCACGAGGAAAGACTACTGATGTTTGCCTTATTTACATTCATACTCTTTCTAATTTTGCGTACTTTTGTTTATAACAACTAATTAAGATCTAAACGTCAAATTTCAGTATACATACATAACAACACCCCACTGTAGAAGCCATGAAACTTTCAAACAAACACTGTCACTATTGAGAGGTATGACAGTGTAAACAAAATGTGAATTAGTTAAAACCTGACCATGCACACATACAAAATCCAAGTACACCTAAGAATAATGTGTTTAAACCAAAAAATAATATAAATCATCTTCCTGAGTCTAGTACTCTGCAATTGATTGTAACTTCTATTTAAATGACTATTCTTCAACTTTTAGCTTTTTAACTGAATAAAGTGAAATCAAAAGTAGGTTAAAGGAAACGGGGAACAAAATATAGAGGGAATACATGGCATTGGCTTCTTTGGTAGTCTTACCCAGATGTGTAGCACTGGGAATCAACCGTTTTCTGCCAGATGAAAGTTTCGTCTTGCTGTTCCAAAAGAGACCAACAGAGTTTCTTAGTGAAATCTTCCAAAGAAGTAGACATGATTCCCTTCTTTGCACCGGTAGAACTGCCCTGCTGCTGGGTTGTGGATGAGGTCAAAACAAAGTAACCTCCAGGCTTGAGTACACGGTCAATTTCAATAAGAAACAGCCCATCTGTTTTGTCAAATCATTATTAGTTTCATGCCACTTGTTCGGGTATAAATCCTCAGAAGGTCAGTTACCATACAGATGATTGTTGAGTGATCCAATAAAGAAAAAAAGTAACCCACAAAAACTAGAACATGTTACTATCAGAAAAGGATGAGGGTGTCTAACTGTGAAGGTTAATTTTGCTTCAGCTCAGCAATAAATCTTTTTAGGTGAGACTGGGCTGGGGGGCTGGATTTAAAACCGGGAACCAATAATTTATCAGCACGATCACCAAAAAGTTCAAGTGAGATTGGTCAAATCAACAAGATTTATTAGATTTTGGAGAAGATATTTTTTACTGTAAAGGAGTTCCATTGTAGAGTAGACAGTTTGGGAGATACCGTGGATTACTAGTCGTGAAGTACATTACTCTCACAGCATGAAATAGACTAGGAAAATGAATTACATATCAAAATTAGGCAAATTGAGAATACTTATTGAAACAAAATCTTGATAAACACTGGTGGGAAATCAGTCAGGTCACATAAAACGATAATGAGAAATAAGTATGGGAAATACAGTTCCTGAAAAGTGAAAAGCAATGGCAATACCTTTGCTGTCCCAAATGATTCCACACTGAGCACAATGAACCATGTCATAGGACAATGATGGAAATGGTAGCTGTTTTGAAATAAAGTTTCCGATGACTGCAGGAAGGCCTCTCTCAAGTGCTACCTGAACATGGCTACCAGATGAACCATAAGCTGCCACACAAAGAGCCATCAAGTTGAGCGAGAGCAGGTGGGCACTGAAGCTACCAAAGCCACAACCAATATCTAGTACAGTACGCACCTGTTATTCAGTAAATAAAAATCTTATATTCTACAAGTAGAACTATGGTTCTGCATCACAGTTCCAATAATATGAAACCGGTAGCATTCTAGAAACATCGATTCATTAGAAACCAGCAATGACCCAAACATGTAGCTTATGGAAAGATGAACAAAAGATTGCTTACACCAGCTTGAAGGAATTCTGTGTCACTTCCCAGCCCAATCATCTCTGCAATTAGGTGAGAGTAATCTTTGACATCATCAACCATCATCCCATCTTGTGAATGGAAAGCAATTTGATTTTCTTCTAGTAACATTAGCCTGGAGAAATGAAGAGTTACAATAAGGTAGAGGAAAAGCTGCACCTTACATAAAGACTTCGAGATTATTCCTACAAATGAATAACCCCAAAAGAGCTCGGAAACTCAAAATTCAGGCCTTCGTCCTTCAAGCATGTAACGCACAACAATTTGACAAGTTAAGATCATTGACAGGATCATTTAATTTACTTTACCTTTTCATAATGCTTCCAGAAGAAAGGAACTGATCTTTGGTTAGCTTCACATTTCCACTCCATATAACATCCCTTCCTGCTGGCCAAGACAACGGAATCTTATAGTCCTTAGGTGGACGAATCAGACAATATTGATGTTCTCGTGATAACTCACTATGCCGATCTAACTCCTCGCCATCTTTAAGCCCAGCTAGAATATTTGCAGACACATTGTACCAAGGCACATAATTTTCTCTTTCCTTACCACAAACACCAACATCCTTTATCTGATTTTCTCCCACAGCAAGGCTTTTTAACTCTAAATAATCGCTTCTTGCTTGCTCCTTTAGCTTTCTGTAATTCGTGTATATATCATTCTTCACAGAGGAAGTGACTGAATTAAAGGTACTTGAAGATGATCCTAGCAATGCTATCACCACCAAGACACTGACAAGACACAAGAGTAACCACTTGAATGGTGATCTAGACCTGAAATTTCTTGATAATTTGTTAAGCCAAGGGCTTTTCATCTCCAATTTATGTAACCTCAACAAAGTTAAAGTTGAGAAGATCACAATGTGCTAGCTATTTGCTTCAACCTCAACCTCCAAGAGCTATGAAAATTATAAGCTGTCATCCGATATCATCACCCACATATACCACACAAAATTCGAACAATTTCAACTAGCATTGATTAGAACTCAACCTAACTTCCTTAGGAGAATGGAACTCCAAAATCATACCAAACCCAATCAGATAATCAAGATCACAATCAGCACAATCTCTATCCTGTTAGTCTCCAATTGGAACAAAACAAAAAGTTTAGATCAACCATAACTCCTCCCATATGGTAATGATGCATCAATTACCCCTCAAAATATATTAGAAAAGTCCTCTAAAACACAACTGCACTGAAAAATACCAATTCCAAAACAACTCTAGCTATATCGTCAAATACAAAGTAATCCAAATCCAGCAACTACACGGACAGATCAACCTGCAAAAAACACCAAATCTAAAATCAATAAAAATAGGAAAACTAGCAAAAAAAGAAAAGAAAAACAAACAGAAACTAACACCCTAAGCACAATTGATATTCCAATTTTAACAATTCAAGCAGAAAATACTCAAATACTCTACTTTTGGCGAATCCGACACGCACCTGTTGGCATTTTTGAAGAGTCCGAGCAACATAGATTAAAACACAAAATTTCCAACTAAGATGGATGAAAATAGACCCTTCCACCCCAATCCCCAAAAAACAGATATGAATCACAATTATATTCCAACTTTCAGCTTTTCCAGCAGAAAATGGTCTCAAATACATATCAAAAACACAGAATCCACCTAAGATCAATAAAAAATAAGCAGCTGAAGCAAACATCCTACTCATAATTGATTCCAAATTTCTAGCGCGAGAGATAGCAAAATCTCAAATACAGATCAGATCCAAATCAAGCAGCACACTAAAACAAAATCACATTATAAAAAGTTGATTACTAACAAAGCCAGAGACGAATCTTAGCCCTTTGCAGCAGATTCAACTAAACGCATTGCTTCTCATTCTCACGGTTCAAATCATGTAAATACCTACAAAACAATTATACATATACAATATAATATACGATTGCACATGTTCTCAACTCATTCACTCTAAATTCTACACCAAAAGAGTGATCCCTCTGTTCTTAACCAGAGGTCTCGGCTTATTCTAGTTTTTTTCACCTTATCCGGCATAAATTGGTTTAATTGAAGCTCAATATGAATACCGAACACCAGATGTAAACAAAAAAACTCAAAATTCTGGAATCACAATGGAACTAAACTAATGATTAGGATTGTTGATGTTACCAGTTGAGCAGCAATGCGAGGGGCAGTGTGAGTTGGTTGGTGTAATTCCGTTATATATACGTATAGATTGAAGCTATGCAGGATTCGCCATTGATGTTTAGAGAGAGAAAATGAAGAGAGAGAGAGAGAGTGCTTGCGCGCGTGAGTTCTCTATTAATGGAGAGAGTTCAATTATTTAATCATAATTTATTGTGAGTTGGACAGCGTATACTGCGATCCACTTATTATAAATATAATTATTTAATTTATATTTATTATAAATTCCAACTCTAAGTAAAAAATTTTATATAACAAATGTTATAAAATTATAAATATAATTATTTAATTTATTATCAAGTTATCAGTTACTGGATAATAAAATAAAATTAAAATTGTTACTGAAGTTGCGAAATCAATAATCATTATCGATAAATTAATTATTTTTCGATTCAAGTTATCAATTTCGATTTGACTTTGTATAATCCTAGTACAAAGCAGTAAGTCGTGATTTCATTAAAAGTTCAAAATATAAAAAGGTAGACACATAAAAAAAAAGTTAAAACAAGTTCATCATTTTATATATCTATCAAAAATAATTTTATCCATATATAATAATACAATATTTTTTTTTTATAAAATAAAAATTAAATAATCCTCGATTTTATCTAGCTCTGCTCGCACATCGAGACGTACTCTCATAATTACTTGGGAATAATTACTTCTCTCAAATTTCCAAAAAGGGAATCAAAATATTATTAAAAGATGGTTATGTTTTCTGTTCACGGGATCCCAAATTACCATTACTTTTAGTTTTAAAAAATGACAATCTTAATGATCAAGATTTTTTTGAAATCATTTTTTGACCAAATTCTCTCGCCATTTAGCACTTCCCTTATTTTTAATAAAAGACAGACTGAACAATCTGTAAAACTTAGCATGGTATTAGTATTTTCTACATATTCTTGGTATTAGATAAGACCACATATGGTGTATTAAATTATTCATATATTAGGTTTGTTTGAGTTAAATTGTGCAATCAAACATTATATTTAATGGAACAAATTTTAATCTAAGGACTATCTTAATTACTGCATCCTACCAAATGACTTCTTATAGCTAAAGGCTAAACAAAATATATAATACAACATATAATGAAAAAATGATTTCAAAAAAATCTTGATCATTTTAACAAAATGTTATTATAAATAAAGTTTGCAGATACGAAGTGGATAATTAATTCCTTTCATATCTTTTTTTTTTAATTTCACCTTAAGAGGAGGAATGACAATCAATAGTATTCTCACTTAGTCTCTGATTGGACTCGAACCTTCAACCTATTAGTTGATGGTGAAGGTGTTCATGGTCTCACTTGTCTGGGAACATAATTATTTCAAATTATCCAAAAAAAATAAAAAGGATTTGTGATCAATTTTTAAAAATGTAAAACTCGGTTATAAGTTTATATTTTAGAAAAATAGTTCCATTATTTTAAATTTTACAAAATAAGACTCATGTTTGACGTGAAGAGATTGTTCGTACCATATAAAATAATTATATTAAAGAATAGTTAGTTACTACTTTGAATGTTGACTAGTAGATTTTTATAACATTATGTATGCTTGAAAGTTTGTAATCGCAAACATTTGTTTATAAAAGGAGTATGAAGATGTGTGATGTAATAATGCGGCACTTTAGGATATTCTAATACCTTGTTTATAAACTATGATTTACTCATTTGTTAAGATTGTATAAGAATAAATGAAATTTTGATAATTTTAACAATTTGTGAGATTTTCATTATATATGTATAAAAAATATTGATAACTAATATTAAACGAAGAAAATACTATTTAACTTGGGTGTACAAATAATCTAGAGTAATACACTTTATTAATGACTTAATGCTGGTGAAAGATACTTCCAATTCACTATCTTCCACACAAAATTATCTACAGAAAAAAAATAAAGTTGACCAAGTAAAATAAGAGTTGGGAGAAAATAATCCAAGAAAACAAATACAAAGCATGTAAAGTTAAGGGTCAAAATAAATTCTCTAATGTGTTAGGAAGACACAAATTAGGAGGAAGATAAATAAAAAAAAGAAGGCTTAACATATAAACAGTCCCTTAAATTTATCAGAATATTTCATTTAGACACTTGAACTAAATCATGTTTTAAATGAACACCTCAATTCTTAATAAAATATTCTAATTAGACACTTTAAAATCATATTTTGGATTATTATTTTTGGCGTGTATTCTCATTTGTCTATTAGATAGTTAAGTTAATCACATAAAATAAATCATTTTCTTAAATTTTATACCTTCATCTCAACAAGTCGTAAACCCCTAACATTTTTTACTTGAGGTTGACACGTATAATTAAATAAAATGACATATTTTATATAATTAACTTAACTATTATGCATAATTGTGTTTATCTAAATTTAAATAAAAAATATCTAGATAAAATATTTTATTATAAATTAAAGTATTCAATTAAAACACGACTTAATAAGTTGAAAGGGTTGACCATGTATATTAATCCTAAAAAAGAACAATAAAGGCTAAAGCCTTCAGATTTGGAACCATTTATGAGTGTGTGACCATAGGAGCATAGACAAATGAGGAATGTTTTTATACAGATTTCAGAATATAAGAATTAATTTCCAATACCCAAAAATAGAAAAAATGTATTCACTCTTTTAATTTTCTCAATCTCAATCCTCAAATAATAAATTAGCTATCAGATCTTGACCATATGCTTAGAAAGAATGAATTTTTTTTTTGCTAGTCTTATGGTCATTAAAGATTTTAACACTTTTTTTAAAAAAAAAATATTCTAAAAGAGTGAGAGAAGGGGGTTTTGTGGTTTTGTTGGGGAGGAAAGAGTCTTTAGATTTCTGTTGTGATTTGTTTTTTTCAAGTACCAAATATATTGCTAGTCTTATGGTCATTAAAGATTGAATTTTTCATAAAGGATTCTTGAAATTTTGTACATTTAATATCTGGTTTGTCTTACTGAGTGAGTGAGTGAGTGAGAGATTACATAGATATGGGAATTGAAAGAGTCTCCTTTTATTGTGGGTCTGATCATTTACTTCCCAAAAACATGTATCATTTTTATTTATTTGAGAGATTAGCTAATATAATGCAATAGCCAAGAAGAGTCTTGGTGATCTGTATCTAAAGCTTTTTTTCCTCTTTTCTTTGATATGGGGGTGGTTTGAACTTGAAATCTTGTGTTTACGCGGTGAATTTGTTTGATATTCGAGTTGTTGTTGTTGTTGTTGTACAAAGTTGTTCAATGGAAGAAGATCAAGATTTGAAGTACTTTTGTAAGTTGTGTGACAAGAAGTATCCATGTGGGAAGTCATTTGGTGGTCACATGAGGTCTCATGTACTAGCAAAGGAAAAAGTTGAGTTTAAACAGAAAAAGTTGCAATCTTGGATTGATGGTGGGAAGAATAGCAGCAAGAAAGATCATAAATCACAGTTTGAATTAAGTGAACATTCTGGTTATGGTCTTAGAGACAATCCCAAGAAAACTTGGAGGGCTTCGGATTCGAGGTCTCCTTTGTTGCCTCAGGAGAATGTTTGTCAGCAATGTGGTAAGGTGTTTCAATCGTTGAAAGCTTTGTGTGGTCATATGGCGTGTCACTCTGGCAAAGACAGGGGAGGGTCGAAAGATGATCACTCGTGGACTAGTGAAAACAAGAATCTGTTGATGGACAGCAACTCGGATACTGAAGCCGAGGAGCCAAAGCTGAAGAGCAGATCAAATACTAAAAGGTACAATAGACTTGTAGCTAAGCCTTCCTCCTTTTGCTTAGTTAACAATAGAAGTGTTTCGTCATCTGTTTCTGAGATTGATGAGCAAGATCAAGAGGAAGTAGCTAAGTGTTTGATGATGTTGTCGATGGATTCTGGGATTTGGAATGGTGTCAATTCAGTTGTTGAGTCTTCCGACAACAATTCTGTTATTTTGGAGACGAAATCATCATCTGTCGACATGAAAGTAGCTAGAAAGGATTGTCTAAAGCCTGCTGACAATCTAGATGAAACACATCGAAGGAGCAAAAAAGAGGCGGACAGAAACTTGAAACTTAATGCTTTGAATGCTGAAGCTGAGTCTGAGAATTCTGATTCCGGATACTTTTTAGGCGAATATATGAAAGTTGAATCAGATGCATCTGTTGATGAGTTCCATAGAAATGGTAATTACCAATGGAATACATCTAACAAGAGCCTCGGAGTTTGGTGCGATGAGACTAGAAAAGACGTGGAAAAAGACTTAAACAGAACAACAACAACAAAGTACATAACAGAAATGAGGATTAATGGTTCAACCAAAGAATATAAATATGATAGCTATGGAATGGCTTCAAATTTGGCTAAGAGTGAATCAAGAAAGAGAACAAAGGATATATCTTATGAACCAGAATTAGGAAATGAGTCGTCGTTCAGGAAGATAAAGGTCGGTTTTAAAGGTCCTGAAGGAAGCAAACATACTCAGAAGAAGAAAAAGTATGAGTGCTTCAACTGCAAGAAGGCTTTTAGCTCTTATCAGGCTCTTGGTGGACACAGACCTTGCAACAAAAAAGCCAGTGCCTATTTCGAATCAACATATGAAACTGATGAGAATGGTCGTGCTGCTGAAAATGGTCCTAGTTACATAGACAAGGGAAAGCATAGGGAGACATTTAACAACAGAAAACCAGCAGTTCATGATTGTCAAGATGTCAATTGCAATCCTGAGAAGAAGATGAAACCTAAAAAGTTCAAAGGACACGAATGCCCGTTCTGCAACAGGATGTTTAAGTCTGGACAAGCTTTAGGTGGCCACAAAAGGTCACATTTTCTTGTTGGTTCACAGGGAAATCATAATCAAACTTCAGCAGTCAAAGGATCAGAATTTGCTGATTTACTTGATCTAAACCTTCCTGCTCCTGTTGAGGACATGAACGGTGAGCCTACCTTTGCGCGTTGGTAGTTTGTTAAAAAAAAGATGCGCAATGTTTGTTGGTAAGCTGATTTTCGATTAGGCAGAAGCATAAGCAGGTCAGGATGCCTAGTTTCTCACTTGCCATCCCTACATTCTTTGTAATCAGTTGTAAGAACCTTACATCACAGCTACTTGTAGCATGTTCTGTGAATATGCTTCAAGTTTTGCTAGTTAAGTTCATTCACTTCTTTAACTTTGAGACATTCTTATGTCCATGTTTTAGTTTTTATGCTTCTATAATTAGTATTCTCATTCTAAAGACTAGCTGTTATACTTCTGTTTTGTCATTTGAAAAAGCCAAGGAAGTTGTTACTATGCTTTAAGCTTTATTGCTAAGTGATTTGCCAAAATTATCTTCCCAAATCATTTTTAATTGTTGATTCATGTCTTTTGTCTTTATAAATAGTTGGCTTCTTCGTGAGAATTGCACTTGTTGGGATAGGAACTAGACCTCTTAGTACTTCTACTCATTGTCAGATACACAGTCATGATTTGAAGTTTATGAATTCTGAATGTCAAATAGCGTGTATTCCCCTAAAATAGAGAAAAGAAATGATTGTTTTAAGAGTAGGATGGATTAGTAATCAGTACAGGTTTAAAATCATCTTTGTTATGATATGTAAATGTAACTGTGAGACCTCCTAGCTAGTTACAATTTCACATAGGAAAAAGAGTCAAATTTGCTCATAAACTAATCATAATCGAATAAATTTGCAATAACAATAGTGCACTTAACTATGCAATAACATCATCTTAATAGACACAATAGGTTAGTTAAACTCAAAAACTAGTGCAATCTTGATAATTAACCTAAGAAGGTAATAGGATTCTCCCATAGTTTAGGGGTGTAAATAGTATAGAATAATAAGTTCAGGAGATAATAGGACCCTCATATAATTTAGATGTGTAACTTACAGTTTCGCCATAGTTTTAGGAGGGTTCTTGTCTCTTATCCATTATTAGTTCCTATTGTTTGGGAGAATCTTTAGTAGGTAGTTTCCTAACTTTAACTCTATTTGCTTACAACTGTCTCAACCATATATATGTAAATATCTATGAATATTTGATTGAAAACTTAATTATTATTGTATATTAACTTGAAGTTGTCATAGAAACTCATAAACTTCAAATATTGAATCCGTCTCAAATTACCATTCTTGTATTTATCAAATTCAATAAAATTACATTGCATTCCCTTTAAGTTTCCTCATCAATGACTTCACTTATCAATTTTGGCATTCATGTAGTACAATTCAATCTTGTTGCCCAATTACCTATCAAACTACAATGTAACCTTAACTTCTCAACCTACAAAATCATAACTTGTGAATTGTGATGCAGACGTTCACAGTTTGAATAAAAATCGATTTAACTCAAACCTCAAGACCTTAAAAAACCTCTACTATGATCACAATTATATTGTTGTAAGAACAATCACCAACAACAATTATCCATGAAAAAACACAAGTCTCTTTGATAAAGAAAGTAGTAAACCAACAGAGAGGAAGAGCTAAATCCCAACCATTATATATTCTTTAATTTCTTGGCAATTGCTAAACAGTAACTCAATCAAGCACTGATCATATATAAGAACATTCTCCAAATCACATCTAAAATCATTAAAAACATGCTATGGGGACGTCAAGTCGGTGGGATAGACCAGGATATCCCATGAGATTATTTTATCCACCTTCCATATGGATAACTTATCCCGCCATTTATACTGAAATGACGGAATAAAATAATCCTGGAACTAAACAATACCCATTACCAAACACATGATTATTCTCACATAGTCCAGTCACATTACAGGTCTAGTGCAAAATGCTGGCCACATTTATTAAGCAGGCATTCTCTCTTATCTTAGCGTGACTAGGTGAAGCATCGTCTTAACTCCAGTTTTCCCATATGGCAACTGGTAGTAAGACTTGAGTATCGCCAAATTTCACAATCTGAAGAAGCAAGTATTCATATTTCCTCGGTTTTTATAGGTCTCCATCCTTTATCAGCAGAATTTTTCCGAGCATGAGATATGAATCCAACTATGTAACCCATAAAAGCTCCAAGCATTAGCACGCTTCCAACCTTTATATACCTTGAGAACTTAGACTCCACGTGTACTGCGTCTGCAGGACCATCACGGATACCAGCACTGAGAAGTTGTCCTGAAGCTAGGAACTCCACCTTATCATGCACATCCCCATCATGGTTTCCTACATAAGAAAGTGTAAGCTTTTCCTTCGTGGCATGCAGCCTCACGTATCCAAATTCACTCCCACGGTACAGAGATTGCAGAGGCTGTGGGAAAATAGGATCCGTAGGGTGGTCTTCTCTTGGTGCCCAGATAGGCTGCCAGTCCTGTCCTGCCATCCCAATCACAATTTGAACTGGGAAAGCCTTCCGCTCCTTCCCATTCAAGACTAAGCTTCCACAGGTGAAGTTATTCAAAGGGCAAAACCTCTCATACCTATGAACATGCCCCCACAATACAAGATTCACATCGTTCTTCACAAGAAGAGGTTCCAAATACTCAATCATTCTCTTCCTCAAAGATATATCTCTTGTTCCGCTACTTGAACTGTACATTGGTCTGTGCCCTTGAAAGACGACAAAAGGAGTTTTTACTCGATCAACTGATTCCAAGTCATGCTTTAAAAAGTCATACTGGTTACTACCTGGAAGGAAATTGGTTTCAGTTGACATATAGACGAAGTGAACGGGCCCAGAATCAAATGAGTAATAAAGATTCCGAGTTGCAGGAGCATGCATTCCAGTCGGCACTGAAGAGTTTCCTGGCATATGGAACTTATGACTGTAGGGTACACCACATTCACCTCCCCCATCTTTCCCGTAGCTTGACCAATCAGGCTTCCAAGGTTGAAGTGGCCAATCATATTCATGGTTTCCGATGCATACATGGTATGGAACTCTGGATGCAACAGGTTCTACCTGAGTAAAAAAGTTGTCCCACAACCAAGAATATCCTCTAGCGTAGCTGATATCTCCAATATGTGAGATAAGGGCAGGCTTATTACCAAGAGCTTCAATATCACGGCTAATCCACTTAATCGTTGATTTACTTTCGTCCTGTGTACGAAGAAATGTCAAGTATGGGGTAGCAGTCCCCATGTCTCCAAACAAGAAAGCAAATGTTTCACCTGAGTCTCTATTCTGTGACACAAAGCTGTAAATGGTGCTCCAGCCCCCTGAATCACTGCCAACCTGTATGGTAATGCATCATTAGAGATATCAACTGAGGCAACCCGACATCATTCAAGAAATGAACAATTTCTAACTCAGCATTATATACCATCACAGCATACCACCATAGCTACTAAGGATCAGAAAAAAAAAGATTTTGTATGGATGGGGTGAAACTAGAATTACTTCCGAACATTCTTAACTAGAGGATGGTTCCACTATAGCATATACCTCTGAATTTGATGAAAATTCAATTTTGGGGGCTCGATGTTCTTCACTAGATAATTGTCAACAACAAAAATTGTACTCCGCTAGAAAATCGCATGCATGAACTCGCTCATCACTCAAACCATATCTCACCATATTATACTGTCATTAGAAATCCCGAACTTACTATCATATCAACAAACCAAAACTTCACTTGGCTGCCCACTGTTCAAACCTCCTACCCCATGTAAAAGCATAACTCTTGCTAAAAAGGGCAGCCTGGTGCACTAAAGCTCCCGCTATGCGCAAGGTCCAGGGAAGGGCTCAACCACAAGTGCCTATTGTCTACAGCCTTACCTTGCATTTCTACAAGAGGTTGTTTCCAAGGTTTGAACCCGTGACCTCCTAGTCACCGGACAACAACTTTACTCTTGCTGAGAAAGTAAATTTGCTAATTAATTAACGGAATACGGCACATGTATGACTGCACGGTGCATGAAGCATCTCGCGTTCATGCAGGGTGCCGGATATATGTAGGTACAGGTAAGAAGTAAATTAGCTGGCACCATTAACTCGTAAAACAGATTAGCATTCCACAGCTTTAGCTCACTCAACAATACCACATGAAATTGATAATTACTACATCTAAAGTTAAAAACAATCTAAATTTCATATTTTTCCTTACTCTAAGTTAATATTAATAACAACTGATCTTCAATCTCAACTAATTAACATGGAGTTTAAGAAAATTAAGACCAGAACAATACCTGATAATAATACTTCTTTCCCTTTTTCAAATTAAGCATAACACCATCATGTATATACCCAGGATCTCTCCATCCAATACTACTATTAGCTGGTGCATCACACAAATCTTCCTTCTCATACCTCACAACCCGAGTTTTCACAACCCGACCCAATCTACCCCGGGTCAACCCATATCTCACATAACTCTCTTTCCCATCAGGCGTAACAAACATAACCCGCATCTCATCTTCAAAACCCGTTAAAGCCAAATGAACCTGTTCGGGTCCCCGACCCGAAACAAACCCAACCTCCTCCGACACCGCAAGAAGATGCTTCGTCTGCGGCAATGGATTGTGGTCATGATCCACTAGATCCGGTACAATCTCCGATTCCGTCCATCTGAATATCCGAAACTCATACCCAGATCGAAGATTGACTAAAGGGATGGAAATTGAACCCGACCCAGATTCCCATTCGGGTGTTGAAGATAGGAAAATATAGCCAATGAAATTGTCGTGGAGTGAACTGGGTGGCGAGTAAATTCCTAAGAAATCGAGTTTAGAAGGTGAGGGGATACCAGTCCATTTGATTGTAACAAAATCACCAGATTTTGATAAGGTTTTTGGGGTTACAGAAATGGAGATTTGTGAAGAAGAAGATGATGAAATCAAGTTGAAGAAGATGAGTAACGCGAAGGTGACCAAAGGGATCATATTTATTGGTGTTTTTTTGTGTTAATGGTTAAATTTCCACCATTTTTATGGTGAAGTTAGCTATGGCGATTTTCCGGCCAGTTGATTGACGTGTCAATACAAGCTTTCGTTTACTCTTTCCAATTTGTACTTCCCAACAATTACCTACTTATTAGGTACACAAGTAACGATATCATTGGCGGGGCAAATCCGTATAAATCCATGAAGACTTCAAGTGCAAATTATTAGTTTTGTATTTAATTATTGACAATTTTAAAATCATCCATTTATTTAATTAACTAAATTTAGATACATATTCGATTTGTCACATGATATAGTAAGTGGTCTCAAAATCTTGTAGAAGCATCGGCATTTTAATAAAAAGTCGAGATAAGTGTTGAAGACATCCCTAAACTTGACAAGGGACGTATTTCACTCATGTAGCAAAGATCGAGGTATATTTAAGTTCAATTAGTTAAGTAAAAGAATATGTATAAGAAGGCCAATAGTTTAAAAATAAAAGTAATAATTCACACTCGAGTTTAAAGTTATTTTTAATTCTTCTCTCTTTTGTTTTTCAATTCATCCCACCTAGCCTCATATAGATCTATCTCGTATAAATTTACTCCACATAATATATTTTTACTACCTAAAATGACATTGTTTTATTATTACGCAATAATAAATTCAATCATTTATATCAATAAGTTTAAATATGCTAGATTTTTAGACTCTTTTTACATTTTTCACCAACTCAATTAATAAATTTCAATTATGAATTTATTTGTATTGTGTTGTATTGTATAATATTTTAATAAATTGTATCGTTTTCATACCAAATCGATCGCTACATGAAACGGATTTTTTCGTCGTTGGATTTAAACAATAATATACAATAAAATTTAAGTAACAATCAAAACAAATATTGCAATTAAACTAACAATACAATACAACGAGTAACAACCATCCAAGGTGTCACGTTTTTAAATTTTTCAACAACTTTGTGCTAAAGTTGAAGGTTAGCCACTAAAAAAATGAGGAAGAAGAATGGAAAACCAATTATACGTATTTACAGAGAAAATTAATGAGGACTTTTGAGTAAAAGGGATGTACGTTCTTATTTCTAAAGAATTTGTAATAGAGAAAATATTCTAAAAATAATAATTAATTAAAATAGCTTAGTATTAAAAAGGGTAAATTAGTCAAACTATAATTTCTAAATATTAATGCTAAATAGGATATAAGAATTGTCACAAAAAGCGATAGATATTATTGACAAAACTAATAACTAATTCAATTTTTTTTTGGTTCAATAATGTACACAGTACTGTGTACTTTTTTTTTTTTTTTTTTTACCATCCCTAGGAGCTCTCACTTCTTTTGCTCTCTTGGTGACTCGAACTCGCAACCTTCAGGTTGAAAGTGAAGAGTGCTTACCATCCGATCAACTCCCTCTCGTCAGTACTGTGTACATTAAAACTAAAATTATAAAAAAAAAAAATAAGGCTTGGATCTTAAAGAACAACATCTTCATCGATTAAATATACGCAGTTTTGTCTATTCCGTTGGCATCTCAAAGCGGCAAAGCGGACAGTAATGACTATTCTCTAACCACTTTGTAATGCAATCTCCATGAAACATATGCGAGCAAGGCAAACACAGTACTTGAGTTTCTTCCCCTATTTCATCTAAACATACCAAACAATCATCGTTGTTATTTCTTTCATCAGTTTCAATCGTCTCTAGCAACTCTATAGATGATTTACTAGCCGGCACCATTCCATTCTCATGTAATTCTTCCAATTCTGACAAAATTCTACCATGGCATTGGTGATCAATCATTAATGTCACATCCATACATACCTCCAACATCTGTTTAGTCATGATTTTTTTCAACTTACGAGTTGTTTGTTCAACTATAATGTGTTGTTGATCTTCAAATTCGCCCTTAAAATTAATAAACACTTCTGATATAGCACAATCGAGTCTTTCATAGAGCTTGGTATCGGAAAGATGAAGAATGATTTGGGTTGATTCAGTTGAACTATCCAATTCTTCACCCATGTTTATGTATTCTAGATTATTGGGTGGTATATACCAAAATTGATGTATTATACTGAAATTACAGTGAATGGTTAAATAGGGTAAAGAAGAAGAATATGAAGAAGTAATTGGGGGAATTATAAATTTTTCTTCTTCAGAAATTGGTTTAACGCTAACGAGTGTGTGTTTGAAGCAGTCATGGGATACAAATCCTGTTGGCCACATATTGCAACTGTTAAGAGAAATCAATATTTTTTACTAACAACTTTATTTATAATAATATATTACTACCAAATCAAATATCATTAGGAACAGGATTAGTGAGTGGGAAGCCCAATTTGATAAGAAAAACGAATTAGTAACGGAAAAGAATAGGTATACGTTTTTGGAAATATAAATTGGAAACGTCAAATACTCATTTCTATTTAGGGAAAAGTAATTACAAAAGAATAGTGTAATTTATGCATTGATTTTGTGAAATGACAAATATTAAAGAACATCTATTTTTAATAAGGACAACGCATACTCCCTCTGTCCAACAATATTTATCCACTATTAACTTTGAACACTTCTTAAGAAACTATAAATAGAAGGGTAATTTTACTATATCACCCTTTGAATATAATAAATACAATGTCTTGAAAAATGACTAAATTTAATGAAAAGGGTAAATTAGGAAGTAAGTGTAAAATTATACATTAATTTTATAAAGTGGACAAGTATTGTTGGACATCCTCAAATAGTATAGTAGACAACTATTATTGGATAGAGAGAGGGAGTATTATAAAAAAGTAAATTTTTTCTTATTATAGAAAAAAAGTGAAAAAATATTTGTATCTGTATGCGTACTCCTTTATGACATCTAACCTATATGTGATAGATATTAATTTTTTAAGCATATTTGGGTGATATTGTCTTTTTTATAAAAATAAATTTAAGCCCTTCATGTTTAGAAATTTGTCCTATAATATTACTTTTGGTTTATTTTATGATAACAATATCACCTAACTATTTTTATTTTATTGAAGATTTAGGAGATTAACTTGGGCATAAATGTAGTCTCTCTTAGTTTTAATGACTTATATAACACACTAATTTAGTGCACTACATAAATCTATGGACCTTAACAAATTTCGATTTTTCGGTTTCAAAGCACTTTTAATGATCCAAATTGTAGAAAATGAATTGAGAAACTAATAAATGTATATCAATGATCATAACCATGTAAGATGTGTGTACTATTATCTAAATGATTGTTAATAGTCTCCAAAACTTCATGGATTTGAACCAATTGAGGATGAGTTTTCTCTCCTGCAATGAATTCATGAACAACACCATTGATCTCAAGTGAGCTGCATCCTGGTACTTTGTCTATATATTGGCTTTTCATCTTCTTCCTTATCCTTCTAGCATTGTCATGTTTACCAGCTGCAACATAGATATTCGAGAGTAGAACGTATGCTCCGCTATGCCTTTCCAACTGCACAATTCTCTCAGCAGCAGCCTCAGCCAAATCAACAAGTCCGTGATTCCCCGAGGCACTTAGTAATGCTCTCCAAGCTATAGCCTCTTCGGAAGGAACACTCGAATTAGGCATGTTTTGTACTATCTTTCTTGCTTCTTCAACCAGCCCGGCTCTGCTTAGAACGTCGATTATGCATCCATAGTGTTCACCTTTAGGCTCAATATGATACACATTACACATTAGATTCAACAAATTTAAACCTTCGTTCGCCATACCTGCATAACTACAAGCAGTAAACATTGAAATAAACGTAACATCATCCGGCCTAGTCCTGGATTTTTGCATCTCATTGAATAACTTTAAGGCCTTTAAACCATTTCCATTCACAGCAAATCCTGATATCATAGCATTCCAACAAATAAGGTCTCTTATCGGCATTTCATCGAACACCTTCTCTCCTATATCTAAACAACCACATTTCGCATACATATCAATAAGAGCAGTTCCTAACTTAATACTCGATCCCATTTTCAACTTCTTCACATATTTATGAATCCATATCCCAATATCAACACAACCCAAATGAGCACAAGCAGAAAGTACACTAACAAGAATAGCCTCATCTGGTTCAATTCCACTCATTTGCATTTGTCTAAACAATTGTAACCCTTCTTTAAAGCAATTATTTTGTACATAACAAGATATCATACACCCCCAAACTCCTCTATCCTTCACTAAACATTCATCAAAAATCAATCTTGCTTCATAAACATCCCCTGTTTTTGCATACCCACAAATCAAAACAGTCCAAGAAACAACACAATTACAAGGAATCTCATAAAAAACAGATCTTGCAGCTTCCACATTGTCAAAACAAGTGTAGAAACCAATTAAACTATTACCCACAAAAGTATCAATCAAGAACCCTAATTTCAAGATTTGCCCATGAACCAATTCACCAAGATGAAAACTTTTCATTCTTCCACAAGCTTTTAAGACATAAGGGAGTGTGTAGTTATCAGGGTACATCCCAATTTTCAACATGTTTTTGTATATCTCTGTGATTCTGTTGAACTCATTATCACCTTTGAGTAAGAATGATTTGATCATTGTATTGAATATGCAAATTGTGGGTTCTTGTATTTGTTTAAAGATTTTAAAGCCATAAATTGGGCTGCCAAGATTAGGATGTGAACAGAAAGCTAACAGCCTGCTTAACGCAAAACTGTTTTCCCCAAGTCCACATGTGATTACTTGTCCATGTGCTTGCTTGAGTTGCTTTATATTTTTGCATTTTTCTAGTAGGAAAAGGCACCTTCTTGTGCATATTGACATTAGCTTTTGCTAAATTTTCATTTTTTTGAAAGAAAGGGAAGGCTTTATATTGCAGCAGCATTCACTATATTACCTATCAAAAATTAACTATTTTTTTTATATAAATAATTCACACTAATTTGCAATATTATGACTCTTATTATATTTTGATGCATCTAGATACATGTGTACGAGGGTACATGGGGTCAAATTAGGTGTCTAGATACATGACATCCAAGTGAATTTAGAATACATTGACAAATCTCGCTCGCTTGATCTCACTCCTCTTCACGAATGAGACGAAGACCTCGTGAATGCGAAGACCAACTGGCTTCATTCTTCGTAAACACGGTGGTCTCGTTGCGAACACAAAGAAGAGTGCACTGGCACCAAAAGACTACAGTTCAGTTGTAAACTTCTTTAACCAAAACCCAAAAGGATCCTCAGAAATCGTTCAGTTAACAAACCAAATATGTAGATTGACTCAAATCACTAAAAATGCCTCAGTATTCGTGCAAACCGTCCAACAAAGTTATAAATCACCCCTCGAACCTAATGGAGCTGTCGAAACTTAAATCTGCCCTCGTCAATCTAGAATGTTAACTTTAATCAAACTTCAAAACTGAAAATCTTATCTGATCACCTCGGAAATTGCATCACCCAGCCCCGTAAGTCACAAATGACATATGAAATCACGAAAAGGGTCAAAACACAAAAAGAAAAAAATACATAAAACTCAAATGACCATAAGGATCGTTACAACTTTATGGAGGAAATACTCACTTAAATTAGTAATAGTAACGTCTAATAAATCATTAAATCACAACTCTATGTGGGTACAATATCTGACTCACTAATCACTATATTACTTGGCGATCAAGCACTCTTGAGTGTGCGTTTGAGAGCAACACACACCTACGTTCCTAGACTCCACTTGTGGGATTACATTGAGTATGTTATTATTGTTTCAAGAATGAGAATGCTAGACACCTGCTAAAATACAACTAAATTTGGTCCAAAATTCAGTGAGATTTAGTTGGAAAAACAAGATAGAAAGTTATATCCAACAAGTCACAAGAAGGAAAACCCAAGCCAATGTAGAAAAGCTTTACTAAAAATTGAAAATCATACACAAAATCTCAAAACAATGATTAATCAAAAAATAGTAAATGCACTTAGAAGGAAAAGGGGCACATTATAAAGTCCAATGTTACTTTTCTATATTTGTTTCTTGGCCACACAGTCACACTTCACACAAATCTGTTTGTATGTAAACCAAAAACCTGTACAAAGTAAAAAAGGAAACTTGAAAAGTATTCACAGCCTATTCATGAAAAACAAGTAACCATCTATAAGAAGAAAAGAATACTTACCTTTCATGCAAAGATACTTTAACTTTGCTCCTTCAATCACCTTTCCCTGACAAAATAAATGTTTCTTTAAATAGGCATCAATCATATATTCACTGTTGAAATAGTTTCAAATTAAGCATATGAGGTAAGGGGAAAAAACATTTTGTTATCTTTCTTCTTTTATATTTTCTTCCTTTTAAACTACCTATAATCTTCAAGAATATAATAGGTAGGAGTGTGTTGTCTTGATGTACGTGCATATAGTAGTCATAGTATTACTTTTCTAATTTTTTGTCCTTCAATTTCTGTTACTATCGATTATTTCTTGTACTTCGATTATCGTATTATTTTGTTGTAGTTTTATTCTGTTACTATTTGTTGTTTCTTATACTCTCATTATTTCCTTTTCTGGACTGCTTTGGAATGTTTCTTTCTTCACTCGAGAATCTATCAAAAACAATCTCTTTATTTGGGATTACACTGAATATGTTGTTATTGTATAGTATTCAAGAATACACTATGTGTTCCTTTCTTTTAATTCCCCTAGATTTACAATTTCTTTTAGGGTGAGTTTCTCTGGTGCAGGGGAAGAAAATGAACAATAGAGACAGAGGAATACCATCCCAGAAAACACAAATGTCCAAAGGTGGTATAAGCTCTTTATAAATCTTTTTTTTATAACCGAGAAATTTCCGAGAGCTAGTGGGGGCACGATTCAGAACTCGATGAATAACCGTGTGAGACGTGTTCCCACGGGCTCTTCAGAGTCTGAATCTTGAAACAAAACAAAAGAAAGTTTAGTGATTTTATTTTTGTATATTCTTTTTCTCTCTGGCAGAGACGAAAAGAACCGTTAGCTGGTTAGAAAGACAGTTTACGACAAAAGCCAGTCGAGATTATGATTCCAGTAATGGTGTTGATTACCCAACTGCAGTAGCTGTAGCTGCATTTGTTGTAAAATCAATTGAAGACAAGAGTAACAAGGACCAAACAAGGACAAACATTGGAGCTAATAAACCTTTAAGCAATATTAAGAGTAAAGCAAATGATACAATTGAGAGACCTGAAAAGTCCACAGGTCAGACCGACCTCTCTATAGTAGTCATCCTCTATAATAACATTTCACTATAAGTAGAAAGTTTTCTTTAGAGTCGACTTTTCATGTTATGTTAGTATATTATATGTTTTCTATAACAAGCATTTCGCTATAGCAGCTAAAAAATTACTTGGACAAACAATGGACATAATGGAACATTATGCAGCAATTGAGTTAATGTCGTTGCATTCAGAGTCGTTAAAGTCTTTAGCAGTATTTATATAGAGGCAATTATATTATTATCGCTGAATAATAGAAGCAAAATCATCATTTGTTGTAGTGTTTACTCATTTCCTCCTTATTTATAATCAGCTGTCAAAACTGCAAAGTCGAGTTCAAAAGTTCAAGACAAAAACATTGTAATACGAACAGCTACGTTGAATCAAGAACCACTCAACTCCACGCGATCTATTAAGCAGAGTGCAACCTTTGAGGATACCAGAAAGAACTCCACATTTAAGAACATTGACATTGCATCTACCAAAACGCCAATTAGACTATCGATGTCTCAGAAAGAGATGACGAAAGGAACAACTACAACAAATCATGTAGTTAGAAATTCTAAAGCAGATATTTGGGAGAAAGAAGAGATGAAGAAGATCAAAGAACGGTACGAAGTTGTACTGAATTTTATATGATTGAAATTGAAAAAACACAAATTGTTGTCATCTAACTACAAAGAGATTTTCAGGCATGAAAAGCAACATAATGTGATACTTGAATGGGAGACTAAGAAGAAGAAAAAGTTGAAACGACACTTAGAGCAAATTGAGGTTTATTCTAATTTCTCTCTTTTAATTTGATTCAAAAACAGTCTCTCTACCTCAGAGAAGTAGTGGTAACATCTGCGTACACTTTACCCTCCTCAGACTCCACTTTGTGGGATTTCACTGGATTTGTTATTCATTTGCTTACTACATACAAAATGAAATTACAGGCAAAAATAGATAGACGAAGGGCGAAGACAAAGCAAAGTTTCTACAACGATATTGGAAGGATCGAAAAGATAGCAGGAGGAGCCAAAGCAAAAGCAGAGCAAAATCAAGAAAAAGAAGAGCATAAGGTGAAAGAGAAAGCAAATAAAATCAGATCAACTGGGAAAATGCCAGCAACATGTTTGTGCTTTTAAGCTAAGATCGATTACACGAAAGAACGTAAATATTGTACAAGCAACATCAACATTTGGATGATCTTTCAAACTTGTATGCAAGCAAAAAGATGTAGAGAATAAACGTTTATCGTAACATAATGTAAAAACAAACTATATATAGTTTTCGATTGTTGAAGTGTGACACTATCATCTTATCTTAAATTTGAAGTTGTTAGTTAGAACGCACTATTTACTTACTTAACTATGTCTTCGACACTGGATATACTGGATATTCCAGATTCCACCTGTGAAATTACACTGGATATATTGTCGTTGAATGTTAATTAACGGATTATAATAACTCTAGTCAATAACAGCACCATTATTGGTCATTAGGCAAAAACTAAAATCAAGTTATTAGACATTGTTTTAGTAATTCCAACAGAAGACCTATGTATTATAGTCTCACACTCTCACTATTCGAAGGCAAGGAAGACATTTTTGGAAAGAGAAGCATAAACACACGGGGACAATTTATGGGTAAAGAAAAAATGAAAAGACGCGTGGAACTCTCATCACCACTCATTTAAAAGAATAATTTAATAGTCTTGCATGTAATTGATACATATAGCATTAGATGGAGGGAATATTTGTACAAATTTTCTACATAAAAAGTACTACAATATTTTTAACTTTGAAAACTATTTAACAATGTATCATTTTGTGAATCACCATAGATCTCTAGCTCAATGGACTAAAGATTCAAATGAGCTTAAGACAAGATCTAATTACAAACAAGCAAAAGTACTCCCAAAATACAGAGTATATTGTGTAATATATATACCAAATGAAATCTCTTTGAATCTAGTATGCAAGCCTTTTAAGTCGTTTATCATTTTGACGTGCACAAATTGACACTTAAGCTTGTATAAAATTAAATAAATAAACATAGGTGTCCTCCGTATCATAATACACGTACGATGCCACGTGAGACACAAAATTATCAGGTAAAATGTCACCTAGGGTAAATATGTCTATTTATTCTATCTTATATAAATTTAAATATCTACTTGTACATATTCAAAGTTCGAAAACATAGATATCAGCCCGGGACCGAAACGAAAAAAGATTAGATGGAACAATGTGTGGTTCTCTAAAACAAATTTATTTTCATTAATTGGCTTAACACAAGTGGTAATGCAGCCTAGCCACACATTACAAATCACATTTTATCCAAACATAAAATAGAACTTTCAGAGCAAAATACAATTAGTAATACATAATTTCAGAAAAATTAAATAGGTCAATGCTTCTTCAAGAAATCTCCGGCCATCTTCAGATAATCTCCTTTTTTACCAGATTCCGACGACTGACTCCCATCGGAATTTTTCTTCAAAAGTCCTTCCGCCATTTTAATATACTCGCCATATCCACTTCCTGCTTTTTCATGTTTTCCTCCACCTGTATGTCCCGATGACTGCGTATGTGCAGTCGCGGCGGCGGTGGTGGTGGAATGATGAGAAGCTTCGTATTTATGGAGATAAGTCTCTGCTTTTCCGACTAATTTCCCGAGCCCTGTCTCTTCTATGTTACCGTACTGTGAGGCGGCGTTAAGGAGGTCAGCGGCAGCTCCGGCGAGTTCCGATTTCTCAAATTGTTTTGGATCGTGATGGAGTTTTGCTTTGGCGGCGTCAGCTACTAGCTTGGCGCTGGACATCAGCTCAGATTTGGATGGCTTCGGGTGGCTGTTGGGCTTATGGGTCGATGAATGACCCGATCCGGATGTGGTCTTGGCTTGTTTTGGATCCATAGAATGAACTAGTAGTTTTCGATTAATAAAATAATTGGTGAATGAACAATGGTAGCTAATGAAAATATTTATAAAGGGGTGATTTTTAAAGTATTAAATTGTTTAGGGGAAGGAAAGGGCTATCTCATTATAATTTTGTATTTTTGGTTGTTGTACAAGTCAACACGTTGTGGTGTAAAGCTTAAACGAGTAGACAACTCGTGTGTGTTATCCGTGTACCAACACAACATACAAGTTGAGGAAGGTATGTGTTAAGCGAGTTCGGAATCTAAATAAGCCATAAAAAAATAAAAGTGATCAAAATAAGTCACTATTCTAGTAAGTAACTAAAATAAGCTTATTGGAAGAAAAAATATCGTTTTATGCAATATTCCAAACGTTATTCGTTAGTCTCATAATGTGTATATTTTAATATATAACGAAACTATTTTTTACACTTTGTAAAGTGGAAGTTTTTCTTACACTTTATAAAGTGGAAGAAAAAATTATGTTTTATAAAGAGGAATATTTTTCACGTTTTACATTAAATTGTATCTCTTTATGAAGCTTTTGTCGTATTTGTCATACAATTATATTGATTTGACATATCATAAAAACGGAAAAAATTATTACATTATATATTTTTATTTTGAAAACTCCTCCAAACTCTATTTAAGGACGTTCAAACATTGCCCTTCACCATCTTTAGTTTTCTATTTTTCTTCATTTCAATCACAAAAAGATGTCTTCTGAACCAAAAGTTAGAGTTTCGATTTATTGGGATGACGAGATTATACATGATGGAAATACCGTTTATTATAAGTGTCATCCCAAATACAATGCAAAATATTAAATTAATGTCCGATATCATAAATTTCTTTCATCAATTTATAAAAGAATGGGTATAAATAGCACTGATTATAATTTGATTATAGTCGTAAAATACCCCACTTCATTTTTATCACAAGGACAAGTAAATTTTGGAGAGTGGATTATCTATAATAACGAATCGTTGACCGACTTTTTGAGGGTTCAAATTGACTACATAGATCAAATCAAGTTAACAATACTTGAAATCTATGTTAGGAAGGAGCCTAAGACTAGTCAGCAACGTTCTCTTATAACAATACTTGAAAAATATTCCTCTTTGTAAAACAAATTTTTTTCTTCCACTTTATAAAGTGTAAGAAAAAATTTCACTTTACAAAGTGTAAGAAAAACTTACAATTTACAAAGTGTAAAAAATAGTTCCGTTATATATTAAAATATACACGTTATGAGACTAACGGAAAACATTTGGAATATTGCATAAACCGAAATATTTTCTTCCACTAAGCCTATTTTAATTACTTACTAGAATTGTAGCTTATTTTGGTCACTTTTATCTTTTTTATAGCTTATTTAGGTTTCGGACTCGTGTTAAGCCTTGATATCAATAAAGAGGTGTTTTAGGCCGATATCGTTGGAACTATGTTTTTTTTAAAAAAATAATAATTGTACTAGTTGTTTAAGTAACCACACACAAATCTCTATAAATAAGTGGCAAATGTGCTAGCGAAGGAAGGAGTTAGGCGCCCCTTTTGGAAGATGCAAGCTTTTTGGATGTCCCTGGTGTGTGTTATAAAAGAAATGGAAGCAGACATTATAGGAACTACTTTTATTAGAGAAATTAATGCTTGTAATATTTATTGATAATATAGGCCAACTAGTGGCCCTAAACTATGCATCGGGTCAAGTTGAAAACAATGCTCCTTTTCTTGCTTGAGTTAATATAAAGGTCTTGCGTCTGGACCTCCATAAGGTCATTCAAAATTACTTTAAACATGATTTAATCATATTTATTTTTGCTAGATAACATGGTGACAGATTGTTGTATTAACTATCAATTAAGTGTTCTTGATTCATATCACTAGGTCTTTGGGATTCAAATGGATTTATGAGGTGCAACATTATAATGGAATGTCCCGATTGCAATATCTTGTACCAAATAATCGTATATTGAGAGTATCATGAGTGACCCTCCCTCTACTGAAACCTTTCACCTCTACAATGTTCATGTGCATGAATATTATGTCTATGTTAATATAATATTTCAGCACGTGATTTAATTTCCATCACAGACAATCATAATCAATATTCAATACATGAAAATAAGGAAGTGAAAGAAAAATGAATCTGAAACCTAAATAATGGAAAAGAAAAAATAAAGTCGGCCAAATTAAGGTGTCAAAACAAAATTAACGTTTTCTACATATATCATACTAATTTAATACGTTATACGAGACGTAAATAACAACTCTAATTAAAATTTGTTAATATACGAATGTGACTATTTAGGAAATTGACTCTGTTTTGCTCCTTACCATAGTCTAAAACCCAAATTATACAGAAAAATGCCAAAACACCTCCCAAAATTTCAAGTCAAAAGGGAAAAAAATCCGCAAAATCTCAATACACTTTCTGTCCAAGAAGATAGTCTTTGTTTAGGCGAGTTCATCACATCTCCATCTTCTTCCTCCAGCAAAATTCCCCCCAAAAAGTTTCTGTCTTTGCCTTGCTTCTTGCTGTATTCTTGAAACCCCACATTGATTCTGCAGGTACCTGCTCAGATTTTTTATTTTTTTTAGTTTATATGAATATTTATGTGTTTCTGGGAAACCCCTTTGTGTATATATTTGTGGGTCTTTCCTCTTTTTTCCTGGGAATTAATTAATCTTTGATTATGAACCATTGGAAGAAATCTTGAATTGGGGTCTTTAAGTAGTACATGCTTCAGTATTGGTACTAACTTTTGTGTAATTGTCAATTTTAGACTTCTTGATAGAAACTTATATGTGGTTGATTGATTTGGATTGATGATTTTAAAGGTTTTAAGATAGAGTTACAATCATGGGGTTGTTGAGTTTTGACTATAGTGATATACTCTCTTTGTCCCAATTTATGTTACTACTATCTTTGGCACATCCCAAGAATGCTTTGTTTATGCCATTATCTTCCTGCTAAACCAAATAGTTCGATCTAATCCGGTGGACTTAGAGCAAAAAATGTGTTCTTTCAGAATAAGTGTATCATGTTTAAATAGTTTCAACCTATTCTAAGATAAGATTCGAAGAGCAGATTAGCCGTAAGCAGATGACTAATTCTCTCTGTAAACCACGGATTCAAGGTCTAGTTGAATTACGGCTATTCTCACTAGTCTTTATTTCCCTTCTCATCCAGCTTGAGATTCGGCTTTTAAGTCGAGTGGGGTACAGGCTTTAAGAAAGCGCTACTGGGCCCACGACTTCTCGAAGAATGTTTTATACCATTTATTTTGTGTGCAATTTTGGCAACTTCCCAGAATTCAGATCCATTGAAGCATTCAAATTTTAAACTTTGATACCATGGTTTCTCCATTAAACTAGCCTGTCGACTTTTACTTTAACGTTTTCCTCTATTGTGATATTCAAGTCAAATTAACTTCTTAAGCTTTGTCTAGTCATATAAATACGGAACGGACAGCTGTGCAATGTGACATAGCAAGTATTTCGTGATTGAACATCAGTTAAATCAGTGTTATTAAAACCCATATAGCTCAATTCAGCTAATGATGTTCAAAGTGATCTCTCAACAAGAAGCAGTCGGTTCTTTGATCTCAATTTTGTCAAGTTTGAGTAATATGAACATCATATCATATATATATATATTATAAAGGAGAACCTTAGGCCCGCCTACGTGACCCCATCACAAACCAAAATTCCCTTTTAATTTATTTATTTCCAAATATATAATAGAGAACCTTAGGCCCGCCTACATGGCGCCACCACAGAATTCCCTTTTAATTTATTTATTTCCAAAACTGGCCTTCCCCTTTCATGAAAAATTGCGACTTTTATGAAGAGTTGCGACTTTTATGAAAAGTTGCGACTTTTATGAAGAGTTGTGACTTTAATGAAAAGTTGCGACTTTTATAAAAGGTTGTGACCTTTCCGAATGGTTGTAACTTTTCCAAATAGTTGTAACCTTTCCAATAAGGCACCATAAACATTTGTTCACACTACCCTTTGTTGTCTATAAATAGAGGGATTTCCTCTCATTTTAACACAACGAAAATTCTGAACTTCCTCTTCTTCTTCACAATTAAATATTTGTGTACTTTGCTCCTGTTGAGTGGCTCACTTACACCATTGCTTATGTTACAGATGCCGGTATGTATTTTAACAACCATTAATTTATGCTTATATTATTAAGGATAAATGATTAGATGTAATATTTTTCATTTTCCTTTACATTAATAATATTTGTTACTACGTAATCTTGTATGTAAGACAATATAATGTTTTAGTTTTAATGAATGATAGGTTTTAAGTGTTATTTTATAAATTTTGTGATATTAAATTCCCGCGCGAAGCGCGGGTAATTTTACTAGTTATTATATTGAATGCTGAAATTATTAATTTTAATTGAAATTTGACTATTATAGTACTGAGTTTATATATGTTCAAAGTTTCCTTAAATTGTGCACTTCACTTTAAAGCAAAGTGCGATTCACTTTTCACTTTCCACTCAAGCTCCATGGATATTGTTGCTTCTTTGTGCTTTATGCTTCTAAAAGTACCGAGTTAAATATGAGGAGCTATTTGGGTGTAAAGATTCTATTTTTCTTTGAAATACTACTGCTCTCAGGGATTACTAGTCTGGGACTCATGGTTTGGCATCCTTATATTCTAATACCAAATATTTTGTTCCTTTCCCAGGGAGATTTGAGTTGTTCAAGTATAATCCATGTGGGGTTATTAGATATCAGTATGAGTTTGACTTTAGCAATAATCAAATAAAGGGGAATGTCAGGTCTTTTTTCGAACAATTAGAAGAGAGATTCGAAAAAGTGTAGCACAATATGTATCGCCCTGTGCCTATTACTACCCGAGGTGGGGAACCTACAGATAGTGGAGATCCTGTGGTGACGTTGGACCAAGTTCCACGTTGGAGTAATGCTGAATTTAGGTATGCATATGAGAATGCAGATCCTACTAATTCATGCTTTCCGGATCCTTTGGCATCTGCTTCTGGGTCTGAATGCAATGCTAGTGGCATGGTTTCCAAGTTTCCCATGGATCATGAGATTAACTCCAAGATATACTTGTGGAGAGGCGATCCCTGGAATCTCGAGGTAGATGCTGTTGTTAACTCTACTAATGAGGTAAGAGGTGACTATTCACGTAGCATTATTTGTTTTGCATGTCCATCATAAATGTGAGAATCTTTTTGTTGTTTAGTATTGAACATCTAGGTTTGCCTGCAATGTTTCATGTGAGATGGCAACATAAAGGTGAACTTGTAGCCAACAAATTAGCTACACTTCCATTTTATTTTTTTTGAAGGTTTTCAGTCCTTGAAGCCAACAGATTATCTCATCTGTGTATGCTCTGATTTAAGTGAACTTCGACTAACTTTATTAAGCAAGGGGATGACTGAAATTGTCGCTTATTCTTGAACTGAGACTCAATGTCCAAAACATAATCTTAAATTTTCTTTTCTTTTCTCTGAAAGAATGAGGTAGGTAGGTGGGTTAGCATAAAAGTTGATAAGTGTGAACATGTTGATTTTGGTAGCAAAGGCATGTAGAATCTGTGTTCTTTTGGGAATTTCAAGTTTAGAACTGTCTAGATATTGAAACATGTAGTTTTTTTTATTTTGTCCCATAAATGTCTTGTTCACTTTCCTGAACATTATGTGGACAAACAATGTGATGGGAGATATAAGATATGGTTTCACCTATTTTTATATTTTTATGTAGACATTTATATGGTGTATCATTTATTGATCTATACTCTTCAACATGAGATTTATACCTCTTTTTTGGTGGTCAAAAGAACTTAGACGAAGCTCACAGCAGCCCAGGATTGCATGCTTCAGCTGGACCTGGTCTTGCAGAAGAGTGTACCACATTGGTAGGTTCTTTCGTGCAAATAGAAGTTAGAGTATGACTTGTGCGAACTGTTGAAGTTCCAGTTTGTTCATTCCTTCTTCTAACTTAAGAAAGTTATCTCCCACTTTTTAAAATTTATTCTGTTCTATTCAACTGGTGACAGTGATGTTGAAATACTAATAGATGGTTTACTTTTCCTTCATAGGGAGGCTGCCGAACAGGAATGGCAAAAGTTACAAATGCTTATGATCTTCCTGCTAGGTGGGTATACTGGGTTGTTTTTCTCAGAACTTTTGCAACAAGCTTTTCCATTATTTTCATATTTCTGCTTGCACTAGAAGTTAATCAATGTACTACAATGTTCTCACTTGTAACAAATACCCATCCTAAGTATTATCTTTTGTTTTTCTTTGTTAAATCTGTAACCTAATTCTTCTATTTGTTGATGTGAAATATATTTCTCTTTAAGTTCAAATAAGGAAATTTAGCCGTTTTCTTAGATATCCATTTTTTCAGTATAAAAAGAGAGAAAAAGGGAGAACCCTGTGAACCCAACTAAGCTGGCTGTACATAAAAGGAGCATGTACTCTGAGAAATATACTTCTCAGATGGAGCTTGGAGATTCTCCATTGGATAGTTACTGCACTCGTTGAACATGTAAAGAGATCCATAATTGTATGTTCTATGGAGTTGTCGTAGAACAATAGAAAGTGTGTTGGTTAGGAAAATCCCATGTGCCAGCTAAGTTGCACTAATATTTGACATATTCTCAAGAAATTTCAGTATGAACAAACAGTTTGACTCGTTTGGATTTTCTGAAATAAGAATCCAGTATAGTAGTAGTTTAATAAATTCAGTTTTTTTTTTTTAACTGAACTTTCAAAGTGCTTATCCATTCATTGAAATCATTAGGCCACTATTACTGCCTATTTCAATAGTCAATGCCGGTCCACTATATTTGCTTTAATTTTCACACCTCAACTATTGATGAAAATTGAAGCAATCTTGGCACCTTAACTTTGCTGATAAGAACAGAGTGATTCACACATATGTACCCAACCAAAAAATAAAGGAAGAGCAACTTCACTTAATGTTTTAATTTCCAAGATCCGGATCATGGTTGTTTAGGTTAGCTGTATTTTTGTATCACCGTTTAAACTGCTATGGTCTGTTAAAGTTAAAAGCAAGAAACATTAAGTGTTGACTTTGTTTTACATTATCATTTATCACGATACTAGCATTAGTGGAAGTTGTGCAGCATTTTCTAACTATTGACCCCATGTTCATTTTATTCTTGCATTGTGCAGGAGGGTCATACATACTGTTGGTCCCAAGTATGCTGTAAAATACCATACTGCTGCAGAGAATGCGCTAAGCCATTGCTATCGCTCTTGCTTTGAGCTTCTTATAGAAAATGGGCTCAAGAGGTTGTCTGATTGTTGTAATTTCATCTGTTACATTTTAGTTCCCTGATGTTATTAAAGGAAAAGAAAAAAGAAGCGAAAATATAAAAGACTGATCTTGTCCCTAGGACTTTGGTCTAGTAGTAAGAGCACAACACGTGATGTGTGGGTTAGGCCCACGTCATGAGCTTGAGCTCTGCCACAGATAAGAGGTCCGGGAATTAATTGGAGAGGGTAAAGGAGTGGACTCATTAATCACCGATCTTTAAACCATGTGCCCCTAGCCCTTAGGTATTTCTCAGTATAAAAAAAAACTGATCTTGAGTTTTGACTTCAAGGTTTAAATATTTGTAAGTTGATGTAACCTCATTGTATCATGTGGATGCAGCATTGCTATGGGCTGTATATATACAGAAGCGAAAAGTTACCCACGAGAACCAGCTGCTCATGTGGCAATAAGTGAGATATCTTTGTTGGCTATTTTCATAATTTCTCTATTAATGTTTCATAATTGATGTTCAAGTTGCAGGTATACATTACTCTGTTTTCTCTGTTGCATTAATGCTATTGTATCTCCATTATAAATATGTTTTTAACTTGTATTCCAATGTTTTTGCTTCCAATATTTTGTTCCACGTTTTCATGATGACATCTTTATTTCACTTTGATTAGGAACTGTAAGGCGGTTCAGTGAGAAACAGAAAGATAAAGTAGAGGCAATTGTTTTCTGTACTACTACATCACAAGATACAGAGATTTACAAAAGGTATTCTTAGTACATCAATTTTCTAGTAGATAGCGGAGGAAGGAATTCCTTCAGTTCCTATTTCTTTGGGAAGTCCAACCATCCATCTTTCGAGTGGTATTAATTCATACGTACCTTTACTCTGCAGATTGCTTCCACTCTATTTTCCTCGGGATAAGCATGAGGAGGAAGTTGCCCTTCTAAAACTGCCTGCAGATGTTGGGGATGAAAATGGGGAGACAACTATAGATGAGCGTAAAATTAGGATAAAACCGTTACCAAATGCCAAAAAGTCCAATCCAAGGATTTCCCAGGCCTCTGTTGATTTGTCTGTCAGTAATGTTGGTTTGACCAGGTTAGTGGCGAATTGTGCATCCACACTTGTGGGATTACGCTGGGTATGCTGTTATTTCTGTTTGTACATTATTAAAACGATAAATAAAATAACCCAAATTATTACAATTTTAATATTATCCGTATCCCATTAGAAGTGAGGCACTGTCAAGCAACTATCCTTGTAATTAGAGCTCAGCATCACTTGCGCTGGTAAATTTCAAAAACAAATGCCATTAATACAGGAAACTTCTTGTTACTTTCACAGTGGAATATTACTTGGATGAACATGTTCATGTTTTGATGGATTTTGTCTTCTTTCTACATTCTAGTCTTATTTGTTAAGGATTGCCTTTATTTTTTTTATCATCAAGCCTTAATGAAATGATTTTTCTTAAGTAGGAGCTCATCCTATTTGGATGCTTTTCTGGATCCTGCTTTTATGTCCCTGATCAAGGACCCAGATCAGCGACGGAGAGAACAATGGGAAAAAACTGCCCAAGCTCAAACTAGCTGGAACTTCTTTAAAATGTTTGGATATGGTGACGTCGCAGGACCTCCTTTGTCAGCTGCAGAAGAATATTCGCTTCATTCTAGATATCTTACAAAAGCAAATACTCTGAATTTTTCAGAAATTGCAGAAATGAAAATTGTGTAAGCATCTTTGCTGTATATATGTCTCTGCAGACTTTATTTATTAGTCCATGGTACCTAAAATACATGAAATATCTGTGTCCAGTTGTCCAAATATGTACTTGTTTGTGTACAAAGTGGTTTGATTGATTTTTCATCTTACGAACAACTAGCAAAGTCTCGTTGACATAGTTAGGAACAAGCTCAGATGAACTGTGTCATATTGCTCAACTTCCATGTCACAATTGACTTCGTTTCAGCTACCGAGGAGGGGTTGACAGTGAAGGCCGTCCAGTAATGGTTATTGTGGGGGCACATTTCCTGCTAAGATGTCTTGATCTGGAGAGATTTATTATCCATGTTGTAAAGGTATGTGATACTTACTTGCTTTCCCTCCGCCGCCAAAAATATAGGTTAGATATGATCTATTGTTCATATCTATTGAGCTGTTCAATTATTTGTCATCTTTGATATAACTGCATAAGTTTTCTGTAAAAGATTACATTATATGTCAATTTGCAGGAATTTGAACCATTGATACAGAAACCTTACTCTATTGTGTACTTCCATTCTGCTGCAACTATACAGATGTGAGTATCATCCTTTCTCACATTGGCCTGTCCCCCTTACTCAGTACGATGAATAAATTTCTTCTTTTACTTTTTTGGTGAATTATCTGTTTTATGGACTTGTCCAAATAATAAAAGTTAAAGGTTAAACATCGAATGTGTATTTTGTTCTTTTCTTGGGTAATATTATATAATATATGCTCCTTCCTACCTTACAGTTCTATTTTGTTTTGTGATTTTTATAGATATTATTTTGTTGTACCAAAACAGGCAACCAGATCTAGGATTAATGAAGAGGATACAACAAATTCTTGGTCGCAAGCACCAGCACAACCTTCATGTATGCAATGCTTCTCCTCTGTTCCCCTTGTGCCATGGTTCCCCAATGTTTTTACTTGCTATCATACAAGTAGTTGACTTTCTGTATTCTAAATCTCCTTTTTATCTGGGCAGGCGATATATGTTCTTCACCCTACTTTTGGACTGAAGAGTGCAGTTTTTGGTTTACAACTCTGTGTGGATAATGTGGTACTCACGGTCCTATTATCCTCCTCTCTGTCTTCTCTCTAATGTCATTCTTGCATTACAATGTGGATTTCATTCTTTTTTCTGAAGACTTGTTTCCTTTTGCACTAATTCTCAGGTATGGAAGAAAGTAGTATATGTAGATCGTCTTCTGCAACTATTCCGCTATGTTCCTCGTGAGCAGCTGACTATTCCTGATTTTGTATTCCAGTTAAGTAATCATTCATTTTTCTGATCATAATTATGAATTTCCAGTGTGAAAACAGCAGAAGTTTTACACATTGTCAGTAGCTCCATTGAGAAAGGTGTGATATAATTGATATCTAATTTGCAAAAATAGCATCTTTAAAGCTCAGAAATAGATATTCAGACTCCTACAAGGGAAATACTGCACTTAGTATCCCTGTTTATTCAATAATTTATTCATGAAACTTGACCCTGCCTAGGGAATTTGTGATAAGGAATCCTACAAAAGATCGAGAGTCCCTCCGTAGTCCCTCAAAGATCTCTATGTATTTGTCCAAGACAAATGAGATCTTCAGTGTGGGAGGCTGGAGCAGCTCAAATAAAAAAGTCTGGTTCTTGTCTGAATTCATCTCTCTGAACGTCGTCCAGTTCTTTACTTGTAGAGCTGTCGTTTCCTGCAATATAAGGAACAGAATCGAGTAGATTAAATGGACTGATAATCATGTTTCTGTTGCAGGCATGATTTGGAAGTGAATGGAGGGAAGGGCCTAATTGTGGATCCTAGAACCAAGTATGTTTATCAGAGACCATAGTCTCAAACTTCATCCGATAAAAGAAGAAAATAGACGCTGTAGTAAGATTGTGGAATTTGTTTATCATTTTATCGCACTTTAAATTTGTTTGTACAGAGGCTGTAATTGTTTTGTGCAATATTAGCAGTGTATTTAGCTAACTTTGTCTGTAATTTGATTTATTTATGCAACCATATGTCCAGTCCTGTGCTAGCTAATGGCAATAAAATTTTTTATTTCTGCAACATTTTCCCTTCTAGATATGTCATTTGAGTCCTAAATGAAGACTTGACCTTCTGAATATTGGTCCAAGAATAACCAGCCTCTTGTTTTTAAGTTAAAAGTCATAAGCGGTTTCTTAGAGTTATGCTTGTGTTTTTCACTTGGACACCTTAGCTCGGACTTTGAGTAGGAATAAAACATGCATTTTTAATGTTTAAGCACAAAATTAATATGTAAAAAAGAAATTATATGTAGTTGCCAATATCGAATTTAGAAGTTGCAGATTCTGAATAAAGGAAGTCAATTTTAATATTATATCAAACTCTATTACACTAGCTTTTTGGTGCACATACAAATTCCATTTAGATTTTTAACGAAAAAAATTTATGATTTTTAATTGCCAGAAAATGATTTATTTTCCTTTTACCAAATACACCCTTAATCTGCCCCCATTGTGGCAGAACAAAAAAAAAGTATTCCATAATACTTCCATTGACATAAAATTATGATTCTTTTCTAAATAAATCCAAAAGATGCATTTGGGAGTGCTGTTGATCCAGAAGACATTATGCTGAATACAGAATCAATAACCCAATGGGCATCACATCATGATGGTGTCTCAAATTATGTGCTACCAAAACATGTACAAGGAAACCCATAGCTAACAACTTCACACCTGAAATTCATAAACAAAGTCCCTAATGTGTTGTAATAATCATGAAGGTGATGAATTAAAGCCTCATTCACATAGTTTTAGTAAATGGGACAGCAGGAGGATGATCTGCAGGGCATCTTTGCCTCCTCGGACGTCTAGTCGTCTTCCCCCCCCACCCTGTTAGGCTTTTGTCCTCCAAACTGGATACAATGTTACTCAAATTCTGCTTTAGAGGAGGGCTTAATGGGGTTGACACAGTGACAGGGGTGGTCTCAATCACCATCCTCCGCCTTCCCCTCGTACCTCCATTCCTTCTCTTCGATCCCGAGTTCCAAGAATGACCTGTAGCTCTCATCAACTCTCCGAAGGTCTGAATGTCTTCAGTCACTTCATGCCTTGACAAGGAAGCTAACCCGGGAAGGATATCCCTTTGAAAGTCCCTCCGCTGTCTTCCCCACCTTCCTTGTCCTCTTCTGGTTCGGTTTGTTAGTGAAGTGGCTCCTGCATCTTCCACTGGTTGGACTTCAGGAACAAAAGGCTTGGGCAGGTAGTCTTGTTCCTTAGTCTCTTCTAGCTGCAATGTCATTGCCTCAAAGTAATCCATCTCCATGGTAGTAGTAGGTCGCGCAACAATCATAGCATCCTCGACTATTATTTCTTTAGACTTGCTCTCAAGTTCACTCTCAAAAGAAACGACTATGCCAACAAACCAACCTAGGGATCCCAGAAGATTATCAGATGGATCACTGCAGATGGTGTCTATTTGACTGGATGATGAAATGGAAACTATAGCTTCCGCTGCGACCCTGACAACTTCATCCTGTGTTTGCTCAGGTTTGTGTTCAGGCAACTGCAAAGATGCTTCTTTTTGTTTGCCATTTTCTTTAGACAAATTGTCTAGCTCAGTTTCCAGAACAGGAGGAGCTTCCAAATCTATCTCGACGACAGTCCTCACACTGACATTATCGCTTTCGACAAAGAATGAATCATCATCTTCAGTAATACATGAGTTCAAATCGAAGGAATTTCTGATAATGGTAGCTTTTGTTTCCATTGCTGTCTCAGCAACAACTGCTTCCATGACAACCTGTTTCTCGGGCTCAACCATAGAAAGGTCACAAGCTATGTTAATGTCAATCACTATTCTCCTCTCTTCGTGTCTGCTGTTTTCTTCTATGGGTGAGGAACAAAGAGTAGCAGACGTGGAAACAAATGAAGACGACTCATTTTTGGAAGCACATGGAATTTCAGGAATTGGAGCCCCCAGAATTTTCCTGACACTTCGGGTTTCCCCCAACTCTTTTGAGGCCTTCATGTTAAGATCTATCATTGCTGGTGCAATATTCTGCGCATTGCAGACGTCGCTGAAACTTTCCAATGGGCCATTTCCACAGATAGGTGAGTTTGTGTAGGCTTCAACCATTCCATTCATGGTATCTGTACTCTCATTTTTGAAACTTGGTTTAGCTTTAAGCCACGGCAACACTGGTTTACAGTCTTGAGGCTCTCGTTTTTCATCAACCAACTCAAGATCTCTGCTGGCAAGTTCCTCATTTACTGAATCCTTTGCTAGTACATTCAAATCGAAACCTTTTTCTGATATCAAGTCCATATTATTGGAGGTAATAGGAAATTTCTCACACCCATTGTTAAAGGAGCGGTCAGATGTCAAATTGTCACTCTTGTTTTGCTTCTCAGAGTCAAAAGCAACAGAGAACCAACGGGTTGATTCTTTGGGCCCAGATGAGGACCCATGGTAAAACCCATTCCTGATGGAGAAATTAGTAGCCTCACCTAAATTTGATCTAGAACTGCCATCAATATGCCACTTGTCTCCAAAAATATCATGGCATTGAGGTGATTTCGGGATCTTACCAACCATGGCACATGAGATCAATGACGGGTTTGTATGTCCTGATGATAGCCTTGCAGCAAAGCCACTTGGTTTACCCCAAGAAGAGAGTGTGTGCGACCATGAATCAGTAAACTCTGAGGAATTAGCGAATGGATATGGACTAGCTGTCCGAGAAGTGATAAATGGTCTCCCATAGGTATATTCGGACTTCTCATGATTTCCGTGGAAGGTCTCTGGACCATGCCCCACTCTCTCTTTCCATAGGTCATCCTTGAAATAGTGAGGTGATTGAACTCCAGGACGTAGAAAGGCTTTATCAAGCATTACTTGTGCCAGTTGGCGTGGTGTAGGGAACTTGTTGTGTGAAAAACTATGAGGTACTGGAGTCAAGCTACCTTCGACTTTACCTGCAAAACAGCAAAAGTAAGGAAACATTTGACATACCATCACGAAAATCCATAAAAGAAGGAAATTTTAATGTGGAAGCAACCAAGTCAAGATAGGCGCAGACAACGAAAACTCTGGCAGTTGTATATACCACAGGTATTATTTACCTGTTTCATATGTGGAAGGGAACCAGTCCCTCTCTTTGCCTTTACCAAGGCTTGTATGATGGGAGTTCCATGTGGTTTCTCTAGGCAAAGCCACAAATGCTGGATTTGAGTTAGCGGAAGCATTTAGCCTTCTTGTCTCCTTATGACTATTACCATATCCAAGAAAATCAACAGGCAATGAGATTGCTTCTTCAGGCTGAGCTGGTTCATTGAGATCAGCCAACCTGACTGAGCTTCTGAAACACGAATGGGATGCTGAAGCATCTTTTTTATCACTCTTTGTACCAGCACCAGGGAATAATCTTGTACAACTCTCTTGGGAAACTTTATCATTTCCATTAGCACGGGAACTTGGATAGAACGATCCTTCATCATCTCGCAACTGCTCAACTTCATCAGTATCTATGTACTCATCAGCTGGAAGTTGAAGATCGAACATCTTCTTCTGTAATTTTGAGGGCCTGGCATCCAAAGATTCACAGATCTTTGAAGAGCAACCATTTTGCATTTGACCGTGACCAGACTGTACATCATTCGCTTTTGAAGAACTGAATGGAGAATTTACAATTTCAGTACCAGACATAGATGGTCTAGCATAACTTGAATTTGCAAAGGGGAAGCTGTTGGTATGGCCTTTCCAAGCATCTTTAGGTAGTAGATGGGATCCAAGAATGTTTGATGAAGATGATGGCTCCATTGATGTCCAAGGTCTATGCAATTCCGTCCTTTTAATGTCATGCATCATGTCCCTCTGAGTTCTGTAAAGGCGATGAAGTTCAAATACCTACGAGCAAAGATTTACATAAGTAGACATTTTGCAGCAAGCTGGAAAATGCCAGAGGACCAGTATAAAACTAAATATAGAACTTATAACTTTAACAGAAAAATGAATGTTGACCAGTAGAGATAGAATTACCTGATTCTTGAATGTTTCCTCGTGTTCAAGTATTTTCTGCTTTAGAACATCCTTATCATATCCAGGATCTGAATCTATCGTAGTCCTTGGCATGAAACCATTACAGTATTGAGCGTTTGTGAAGATTTTCTCTCCATAATGTAGGGGCCATCTATTGTTTAAATCCTCGCTAAGGTAGCTCATGGAGTAATAAGCTGGTACATAGCCTTTACAATGGGCTTGTGCTACCATTCCTGCTGACAGTAGGAACCAAATCATATAAATAAAACCAAACAGAGTAAGGAATTATGCAAAATAACCATTATTAATAATGAAAGAGCGCAACACATCCGATATTCAGACTGTTTTATGGACCAGTACATCCTTCAAACGTTTAACAAGCTGAATAGCATCAGTATTAGCAATCAGCATTACATGGCAGGTATAGTGAACTGACGGGAAGTGTAAGACAGCATATGTTAACTGGCGGATGCAATATTTATGTTGCACTCAATATAATGACATCATTGGCACAATGCCACTCAAATCTCACATAGTTTAGGTGCCAATCTCTGCATATCAAATTTGCATTTTGAACATATTGTACTCTCTCTGAAGATTTTACTTTACTTCAGCCAGAACAACATAAAAGAAAGCAATTCGTATTCTGCTTTAAGTGGATGACTTTCTCACTTTATATTAGTCTTCCCCGTGAAGCTTTCTCAAGACTCATATGAGTGATTTTGGAGATGATGAATCGATGATGCCAGGTAAGAACACACAAGATTATATCAATGGAGATTTTAAGATGCTCTTTCAACCGTTCAACACTTCTCTATGACTCCTTAATCTCTTCACATGGTTGTAATCATTTAGACGTGGAAACATGGGAAGATAATAGTATGTCTACCAAGTAAACTTGCACCAGACTGTTCTGATACCAATCAAATGAGGAAAAAAAGGAGCATTTTTCCCTATAAGGACTTGCTAAGCTATACATCTAATTGAGTAAACTGTTTATGATCACTCTTCCTATAGCTGTAAGTCAACACACTCTTTTTGAGTCACTCGCTCGATATAGCACAGGGTTACAGGCAACCAACT